CAGAGAACAACTCGATGTGGACCTACCAATCTTCAACCATCCGGCATGTCGCCATCAGCGGCACCACCTCCCCCCTACACACACATACATGCATACATACATACACACACACAAAATTCCATAATTACTCCAGAATGTGATCCATTCGGGCAGTTGCTGCCGTTAGTTTGATCTACGCCGTACACGTAAACGTCAAGCTGTGTGCACCGGCTGTATACCCAATCTAACATCATCAATTGTCTTCACACAGTGCTGCACTTGCTGTGAAGGTTCGTCTACTCCTTGTTCGCTTCACCACCGGTTTCACTCACTTTGCAATATTCTGCTCAGCAACACTCAACGTGGAGCTGTGTTCACAACCGCCGCCGAACGAGTGGCCTTGAGTCTGGCCAGGCCCTCACTGCTGGAGACGGCTGTGACGACCGGGATTCTGCATTCGTGCCCATTCGTTCCCATACGTCGCGGCGAGCGCTCAAATGCTTCGAACATGAAAAACTTGTTCTTCTGCAGTCCAAATTCCACCAATAGACGGTGAGAATTTGGGTCTGACCCAATCCACTGCTATCTGCAGCTACCAGCTATTTTACACGACGTGTAATAAAACACCAAATATCTTCAGATACCACAATGATACCACATTGTGGTATCTGAATATATTAGGTCTAAAGTCAGGACTGGCAGTTTACTAAAGCGTACGCCCATATACGGCATGGCGTGGCCCATAACGGCGCTAGTCTTGGGGACTACACACTCGCGCAGGACCTGTTGGCCTGTCGATACTAACCACTTGTGCTCGCTAGTGTTTCCTTATCGTTGTTTGTGTAGCGTCCACCCACTGGAGTCCATCGAAGCTGGCACCACCCTCTCCTTCAGACAAGTATATGCACACGGCAAAGACCTCTGCTACTGCGGCAAGTCCTTTTCTCACCAATCAACAACTCTGAAATAAGTAGATATGCCGTGTATCAGACCAGCTCATCAAGGCGGCAGCAGGAGGGATGTGTGCTGGTTGCTGTAATGCTCTGTTAAAATGGAAGTTTGAGTGGAGGGCTTTGCCGGTCTCAGAGTTAAAATGTAGTTTAGCTAACAGGTTTGTCACTGATATATTGTATGTATCCGTTTGTAGGTCACCGAAGCAGAATTTAAGTTTACACGCGTTAGATACTAATTAAATTGCTAATTTAATGCTTCCGGCTCAACCATTTGGAAAAAGCGTCTATGCTCTTGACTCCACGTTCACGTACCGCGTGATGGCGGATTCTACCGACAGCCCACTACTTACACGTACGTGTTTTATAACGCACAATCGTCTGGAAAAATATTTGGGTGGTGATCGCCACTTTGTGCCAAATGCTTCTCGAGATTTTCGATGGATGGATTATTTGCTAAGCCGTATGCCATTCATCCCAAAGTTCACGAACTGTCGCAACACAACGGCTCATCATATAAGTTGGCGTAAGTTCGCCACTCAGCGTTGTCGACGGATTGCGAACTGCATTATTCAAAGCTGAGATCGCAATGTTCGTATCGTTGTGTTGTGTAATAGGCCCACGATCGAGCTTTTGAACAGGAACTAACGGGAACGATATTTCACCATGATGAAATGCGGTAACGTCGTTTTAAGTTTTTTTTTAACCAGCTCTGTCACAGCGCGATGGTTTGGTTCATGATCACTTCACGTTGTGTTTGTATTTGTTGCGCTAGTAGTGGTATTGCGACCTGAAGCTGTATTTCAACTGGATTCTCATTGGTCCGAGCAGATGAGAGAGCTTGAGCTGTATACTTCTGGAAACGTTCTCCAAATATTTCATTCTGACGGATCCGAGATGGAAGCTGATCAAATAAAAAAAAGGCTGAACCTTGGAGCAGGACAGTGCGTAAGTACTCTAAAAGCTCTAAAACTCCACGTGCCGCCAGATTTTGTTCCCATTCTCCATTTGACGCTTCTGATTTGTGGATTTCTTGGAGTGGAAAAATGTTAGCTTTTAGGTTATTTGGTGGTTCTACGACTGCGCGTTCGAGATAATACAGTCGCGAGCGGGGCTGAGTACACAGCATCCACCGTGCCCAACCCCACCTTCCATGTCTGCGCGTCTGCGAGATGTCCACATCTGCGCTTTCGAATTGACGTACACCCTGTTGTCAGTTAATATAGGTTTTCTTATTGAACGTCAAACCCAGCTTTTTAAGTACAGCTTCATATTCATAGCAGCTTAAATGAGTGTCGTACGAGATTGACTTAATTCTGTTCTACCGCGTAAGAAATTAATGTCGTACCAGTCCTTAGATTAACGAATGCTCGGAAATGGTGCACAACTCACATGACATCTCTCAAATAGATAAAATATCTCAGAACCAAAAGGACATAGGTGAACATCTTTGTTGCGCATAAAGCTAACGTGTTGGAGTTTTCCATAAGTGTTTGGTTCGCCGTGTTGAATTAGAATGACGAGGGCAATGCATGGTTAAAGGCTTTCACCATCCAGCTGTTGTGAAAACACATCTGCAAGCCCAATAACACGCATGTTTTCTCCACGAATCAATCCATAATGAGAAAGTAGAAATGCTGATCGTCCTCGAAGATCGTCAAGTTGAAGAAAAGGTATCACAAAATATTTCTAAATTGCAGCTCAGACTGATAGCCATCCCAAAGGGAGGGCCATCGTGGTGGCAGCATCTTTTTTTCTTTCTAAAAGCATATTAACTAGTTAGGTAACACAAAACGGATATTGCGATTACATCCTAAATCTGATACTAAGTCGGGTCAGGCCCATAGTGTGGCCACTGCTGTACCGTAAGCCACAGGCTGAATAAGACAATCGTAAAAAGTTCGTTGTTAATAAAATTCACAATCCCAAGAAAACGTTTTACACCGTGAAAAGTATGATCAATGCGCGCCACTGGACGGGGTGCTTCCCGCCACACTGCCATCGCGCCCACTTTAGTTTCGCGATCTAAGATGCCACGAAGACCTAAAAACGAGAATCACAAGAAGCTTCAGGTTTACAAACTTAAATACCTATTAGTTGTATTATATAGCTTTAATAGCTTTTGCCTAGGTAATCGAGTATCTCAGCGAAGCGGAATCTGTTACTGCAACATCAAAGGCGCTTTCTGTTCATCGTTCGACACTGTACCGATGGAAGAAGCAGGCTATTCGACTGGATTGCCGACATGCGAAAGAATAGGTCGGTGTGTGTTTCAATGGAGTGGTTGCTGTTGACGTTGACCAAGTACACTCCCACGCTCTCCAAGGACAGAACGCGTGTGGCAAACCTCATGCATATCCATCGGTTTCTAAAACGCAGCCGCTTGACGATCCGCCGCATTACTCACAAAGAAAGAAAGAAACGAAGCGATATGGAGGTACGCAAATGACATATCGACAATTGGTATTATTATTAATTCTTTGTGCTAGCTTATTAGCTCAACTTTTGCCAAATAGGTTGTGGGGAACATGTTTTCGCACTCAATCCACCATACAATTGAGGAGAAGGGCATCTTAGCCTGGGAAACGGGCCCCTCTAAGTACGCTGCCGTATATAACACGGCAATATACATCCACACGATTATTTTTATTTTTTATTTTACTTACAGTTTGTTCGATTTCTAACATTTAATATTTCTAATAATAGGGAGTGCGGTAAATAGTTTCCTTGCCTCAGTGTTTCTAGCTGCTTCAGTAACCGGACACAAGCTCCACCCATTTGTCGTATTTGCCGGTGTTCCTGGTGCACGAGCCACGGAGGTATGGGATCCTGCGTTTGGTACAGATGACGTCGAGCATACGGTGCAGCGCAAGGCGTTCTGTAATGAGCACGTGATGCTGGAGTGGATCGAGAGAGTACGTACAACCAATTCGATACTTATTTTTATATTTCCTTTTTAATTTCTGCTCTAAATTAATTAATTTAAAGCGGTACTGCAGGTGTGGAAGCCCTCGGTAACCGGTTACGAGCTCTCTCTGATGAATAACCTGAAGGCGCATAAGATGGCGTCTGTACGCTACGTACTTCGACAAGAGTGCTGCGCCGAAGTAAAGTTTGTGCCTCCAGGCATTACTGGGATCAGTCAACCATGGATGTTGCCGCCATGAAAGCTTGCAAAGATCGAGTGAGGTGCGTTTGGTTTTTTCAAATTCTCTTTGGTAATACTGGTCTAAATTGCTATTGTAATGCTATTTAGAACTTTGTATCTGCAACACCACATTAACAATGACTTTCTGAGCACAGCTCAAGAAAAGCGGGCATTGATCTCCCGCATCATTGCGGATGCGTGGAGTGCTATCCCAGAAGAAGTAATTGTCAAGGGATTCGTGAGGGCTAAAATCGTCCCGGTTGGACCACGCGATGCTACTGGTTGTTTCCGTGTCCACGCTGTTGATAGTACCGAAGATCCAGTTGTCTGTGACGAAGAGTAACAAAACTGCATTAATACACGTTGCTTTTTTTCTTTTAACTTATTTTTGTAAAGTTACTTTATTAACAATGGAAGGGGTGTCATGACTATCAATTTCAGGATTATTGAGCTTTTTTCGCCGGTGATTCGTTTTACGAGTAGTTGCACTGCCGTGCGTCTCACTGAGTCTGTGGTTTACGGTACTCATAAACTATCTGGTAGTGAAAGGGTTAACCCATTCACTACCAGATATTTTTTAGGGGTCCGTTTGGTACCCATAAATCGTCCAATGAGCGACAAGTACATACTAAAAAAACCTATTGATGATCAGCTGCGTTCAACGTGTTTGCACGCAGAGTAACTTACGGTACTCCTCAAAATTCAAAATTTCAAGCTCGTGATGGTCATTGGAGAAGTCCCCTCGCGGACCTGCCGCTACTGCGACGACGAGCCGTGTGAGTGGGTCCAGTACAGCAGGGACATTACAGGAAGCAGACTACGCATGCTCACGTGCAGTCACAGACGGCTTACCTCTCGCCTAGTGACACGAACGCTAAGTCAGCACTACTACTACAAGAAGTACGGCCAATTATCGAAGAAGACACGGATTCGCCTTCCTTTTTTGTGTGGAACGAGGAATCCAGCGGCTCGACAACGCTGTCAGGTATATTATACGGTTGTTACTCTGTTTCGTTAGGTAACTCAAACTCATTCAGATATGTGATCGTTCTGTTCTTTTTCAGCCGTGTGTGTACGGTTGGATCACCACCCGCGGCGGAACAAACGGAATCCAGTGCTGAGCGAACCGTGAGCGAGGTTGGTGTCAGTGCGTGACGGTAGTGGAAGGCACTGAAACATGCCACCCGAAACCCCCTATGACAGCCCGTACATCCAAACAGAGCTTTCTTCGTGAAGCCCCACAGTGAGCATAGATAACACATAACTTTTCCAGTCGAATACCGTCGTGAGTTTGGCGTTATTGCGTGGAGGTTATCACCGCCCCCCACGACTTCTGCTATTGGCTTGCTAGGTGACGGCTCACAGCGGCGCTCTTTCGCGATCTTGGCTCTCTGCTCAGCTGTCAGCTGCTCGGCTACTCTCTGCTTGAAGTCGCGGAGTTTCACCCGCGTTGCTTTAGGTCCTGCAACCTTTTTGAATAGTGAATACGCATTGATGAGCGAGCGCTAAATCCAAGGACCATGTCAAAATACTCATTGATAGGCGCTGCTCCTTCAGGCAAATTGGATTGGTGCTCCTGATTTGATCTACTCTGTCCACACCGTTCATGAACAAATTGTACGCGACCGCCATTGCTGGGACGTGGAATGTTTTGCGATGCAGCACGCTGTCAAGTGTCCAACGCCGCAGAGTGGCAAGCCCACGACATAGCCATATTGCTTCATGAGAGTCACCTGATTGTACACGCTGAGAAGGTGTACCAGCCAAGTCGTTCGTGTAGAAAACTACGGTAAGCTTGTCTCGAAAGACGATGTATCCCGCATTAGGAGCGATAGCCATCGGTGCTATATACTGCGTCTTCTGGTGCGGCGGTAATTTCTTCTGAGCTCTGTTATGCTTCTCTTGTTGCCTCTACCAGTCCGATGGCACGTCTACCGCCGCAACCATCCCCCATGAACCCCGTTCAGCTTTGTCAATCCTAGTTTTAGTCGCTTCTAATTCCATTGCATTCGACTTACCCTGCAGCGATATTCGCACCGTACCCAACATCTTCATCCCACCATCAGTAAATGCCGATAGCGTCTTTGCCAAGTTGTGCCTCGTATAAAAATTATCACAAACTAGCAGCCGGTGGCCACTCGTTGCCTGATGTGTTTTAGTGAGGTGGCGACACATTGCGACCCAGAGCGCGCTAGCATCTTTTCGATCCATGGGAATGTCGGCACGATCGAGTGTCCTGAATAGTGCCGAGCGTAGCCCAGGAATCAACCCGACGTATCTCGCTGCAGGAGACGTTCTCGTTCGGTTACCAGATCCGTTATCCCACACTGTGTACGCATATAAAATCTCCCATCCCACCACAGCGTAAAAGCGAACACCATATTTATCTGGCTTCGAAGGCATGAAAGTCTTCGCGGCCGATCGAGCTTTGGTGCGAACTGTGTTCTCGTCGAGGCTCACAGCCCCTACGGGTACTGCAATTGCAGCGGACTTTTCCTGGATCTGAGCCATAAGGCGCCGGCTGTGCCATAGTGGATCCTATTCTCGATGGCCAACAGGGGCACTATCTGGTGCGTGAACCTGAAAACGCGCTCTAATGCTCTCAAACCGATTCCTTGGCATGGTCAACGCGAAGTCGGATTGGCCCATAAATAACTTACGCGACCAGAGCTCCTTGATCTCTGTAACAGGGTTGAAACTCATGGCAATCTCCAACCCTAGATAGGCATCGAGTTCGTAGACAGTGGCTTCAGGTTTCCCTTTATCTTTTAGCATTGAGTTGGTCCAAACGTGTAGCGAATCTCTGAATTTTCTCGTGAAGAAAATCGAGAAAAGACTCAGCTCACCTCGATTTTTGTTATCAGCACTCACTTCTCCGTTCCGTATAATGTGTAGCCCGCTGTTCTGGATGATTCCATTTACATACGCGTTGTCAGTTCTGCCAAATATTGGCATCGTTTCCTCAGTTGATGACGCTGATTCGCTATCTGATTCTGTTGCGATGTCCACCTCCTCGTTTGACAGGACGGCGGCAGCGCTGTCTTCCACCTCCTCAATATCAGAAGTCTCGAATTCCCAGTCGGCTCCATCGTCGTTGTTGTTCAGTAGTTCAGATATGTCCACTGCCAGAATAGTGCAAAATAATGATTGACAATGAGAGAAGTGAAAATTTGTGGTAATCACGGGGCCACACACTATTATGTCTTAAGCAGTAATGCTACGGAGATGTGTTGATACGGGTCCAGTGAGGACCTGTTTGTCCTTGTGAGCTGTAGACCTAAACCCCGCTGGGAGAGTTTCTACCAATCAGTAATGCTTATGTATCCAGTTGCAGGTCTGCTGCGGACATGTATTAATAACAGCGTACAATTTTTGTCGATAGTGAAAGGGTTAAGTAACACAGCAACGGTCCCCAAAACGAATCATTTTAGTTTCCCCCCCCCCCCTTTATTTATTTATTTGCAAGTTTTTCGCTAAAAAAAATGACTTTCATAACTGGCCAGTTTGAAAGCTTTTTTACTTGTGTACAAAACACAATCTTCTTGTCTACCATCTCACCAAAGATGGCTCGCTCGGATGACGAGCCGCGGCGCCGTCGTCACGACGGCAAAAGGAAGCACAAAAAGCGCCATCGCCACTACTCGGACTCTGACAGTGATGCGGAGACGCGTGCTGAGCGCAAGGCGCACAAAAAATCTGCTAAGATGCTGGCTAGCTTGGGCTATTCGGACGAGACGAACCCGTTTGGGGACTCAAGTCTGAGCCAGCCCTTCGTGTGGGGCAAAAAATATGAGGACAAGGGCAAGGAGAAACCCACGGCGAGGGAACTTAAAAAGCAGCAGCTACGACGTGTAGATGAGATCCGTAAAGCTCGAAAACGTCGCGAGGAGCGCGAGGCCGAGCGAGAAGAGATGGAGCGGCTCAAGAGTGAGGAGATGCGCCTGAAAGACGCCGAACAGTACGAGGATTGGCAACAGAAAGAGGAGCAATTTCACCTCAAGCAGGCTAAAGTGCGCAGCCAGTTGCGGATCCGCGCCAACCGTGAGAAACCAGTAGACTTACTGGCCAAGAACTTACTGTTAGTATCGGCTAAGCACGGCGCGGACGATGAAGATGAGTTCTTCAAGAAGGAGATCGGACGCATTAGGGTGGAGCATAGACGACCGCACGCCGTTGTAGAGGTGCTGTCTATGGATGAACTCAAAGAGCTACAGGAAGATGTTCGTACCTATGAAGAGCTCGAGGAAAGCGGGAATGGAGGACACAACGCTGAATTCTGGAAGTTAATGAGACTCGTGTGTGACGATCGTATTCGACGCTTAAAGAAGTCCCAGAGTGAAGGACAAGCAGGCAGAGGAGCGATCCACGACTCGGTGAATGAGACGATTGAGGAGATGCTGGACGGAAAGGATAAGCAGGAATTGATTAAGTTGCAAGGCGAAGTGAAGGAGACTATTGCCAGTGCATCGAATGGGGCGACAGGAGTAGATGTCGACTTCTGGGAGGAAGTGACGCAGCAGATCCAAGTGTACCAGGCTCGTGCAAGACTCACCGAGTTGCATGAAGAGATGTTGACCAAGTTGGCTGATCTAATGGAAGAACATGAGAGACGCACTGCCGAGGAGGCAGCAGCTCGTGCAGCTGAAGACGAGAAGCACGGCGTAGTGGACGAGGACGGACGCGACGCTGGACGTGAGGCACGTGAGATGGAAAAGGAATTTGCTCGCAAGGGTCTGGATGAAGAAGAAGAGAGACTTGGAGCGTCGGAAGAAGTGGTGCTGGCTGACTCGAAGGTGACGCCGCGCTGGAGCGAGAAGTACCAACCGCGTAAGCCTCGCTACTTTAACCGCGTCAAGACAGGCTACGACTGGAACAAGTACAACCAGACGCACTACGACCGTGATAACCCGCCGCCCAAGTCGGTGCAGGGCTACAAGTTCAATCTCTTCTATCCTGACCTCATTGACAAGCAAACAGCCCCGCGTTTCTTCTTGGAAAAGACCAACTCGGACGAGTTCTGCATCATTCGCTTTTCTGCTGGTCCCCCATACCAGGATATTGCGTTCAAGATCGTCAACCGCGAGTGGGAATACTCGCACAAGCGCGGCTTCAAAAGCGTGTTCGAGCGCGGTGTCCTTCATCTCTATTTCAACTTCAAGCGTCACAGATACCGTCGGTAGGACAGCAAAGAGAGCAGCAGGAAGTGCTGAGTAGCGAGGTTGTAATAAAGACAACGCTGAACACTTAATCAACACATTGTCGCTTCACTTGCTGGCACTAATGCAAGTAGTAGTTATCGATGGACCGGTTGTCGAGATGGGTGCAGTGGACGACGTTTTCCATAGAGAAGAATGTACATGTATGTTGAAGTGGTAACCTGAAACGGAAACGATAACTTGCCGTTTTCGTCGTTTCGCTATTAAGGAGCTCACCATTTCCGTAGCGACGTCACCATGCATAGCATACACGTTGCACTTAAAGTCTCAGGGCTTCCTACAGCACATGGAAATAGGCATCTTGCTATAAAATATGTTTAGAAATGGTCCGAAATGGTCGTCCAAATTTGGTTTCTGAGAAAGTGTTGTATATGGGCCGTTTCTGCGCGCCACGTGACAGAAAACGATGAACGCCAGGCGTGAGTAATGGCCGTTCCCTTCCCCTCTTGTGTACCACACACGAAAAACACGTCTGCTGCTGTCGTTCACAGCCATTCTCACTTTATTCGGAGGTTCCGCGCTCAAGCTTCGTTCTGTTCTTGCCCATAGTGACTCCAAGTCTTCGGCGAGATCTGGAACAGGAGCGCTTCACATTCCCCGTCTACTCAGGTTCTCTGCCCGTCATGAAGCTCTACCCCGTGCTCGCCTCGGCGCTCGCCGTCGCGTGCGTGGCCACATCAGGCCTCACGATTGTCGCCTCTCAGGAAGTCGCTGGCCTCAGCGACGAAGCAGGTTTCGCGCCCGTCGTGGGCCAAGAGGTCAAGTTGACACCGTCGCTAAGGAGACACCTACAGACCAGCGGCAGCGGCACTACCGAGGCCCCTACGACCACGGAACCGACGCCGACCACAGCCACGCCGACTACCACGTCGCCAACCCCGACAACAGCGACGCCAACGACTACCGCTCCGACGCCAACGACAGCGACACCTACGCCTACCACGGACGCCCCCACGCCTACGACGGCCACGCCAACGACGACCACAGAGACCACCGACACGCCGGAGGCTACAACCGCCACACCGACGTCGACCACCGCCACGCCCGAAGCGACAACGGCCACGCCTACATCGACAACGCAGACGACGGATACGCCGTCTTCGACCACGGCGGCTCCTACTGCCGCGTCGACGACGTCGTCCACCTCATCGGACACGACAACTACGCCGTCAGCTACTGATAATGCGACAACGTCCAACTCAGGCTCGAGCGCCAGCGCAGGCACAGACACGTCGTCAGACTCTAGCATGAGTACAGGCGCCGTGATTGGTATCGTGGTGGGTATCGTCGCTGCTGTGGCCATCATTGCTACGATCGTCATGTGTATCATTCGCAGAAGACGCGAGGCGGACGACGACCCGCTCTCTCCCTTCGAGCTTTCCATGGACAAGGGCTACAACCCCACACCAGGCGCTTTCACCGCACAGAACTCGTACAACCCGCGAGCAATGGGGGCAACTGGTGCCTCGGCTAGCGGATCGAATACACGAACGCCCCCGGCAGACACCGTGGCAGCAGGTGTCGCCTATTCTCAGTTCTACGACAACGCAGCGACGTCGCCGGACTCGATGAACCGACTGGAGAGCAACGTGGACTCAGTGCAGACGGACCCTGGTAACCCCAACGCTACGAACGGCACGAATCTGTGGCTGAGCGCCATGGAACCCAAGGACAACGACTCGTACCTGAGCGCTCAAGAGTCTCCACGCTCGTCGCGCAACAGCAGCCGTAACAGCTACGAGCTCTCGTCGACCCACAACGTCGATGCAGACCAGAGCAGCCAGCTCAGCGGCCACAGCAACAACAAGAGCGACGACTTCCCGGACCACCACGATGACAACGACTCGGCTCGTGGCTCGTACGAGCTCTAAGTCGATTTTTGACGAGATTAAACTATGTAACAGTGAGCGGCGACACACAGAGATCAAGACGAGCGCAGTCTTCTTCTGTGTCGTCGGTTCTGTAGATTGTGAAAGTGGTTGAATGTGCGTACATATTTGGTTGGTTGGTATGAGCTGCTGCTTGCTTCCAGAAGAGAATGGAGCATCTAGTTTAGCACACGCAAGGCAGGACGAATGTTGATTTTTAAAGACCAGATCTGATGTAAAAAGATCAGACGAAGGCAAAGACGAAAGACATTATCCAACAACACGGAATGTTTTTCTAATTTACCAATCTCTAACTCTCCTCGTCACTACTATCACTATCAGCGGCGTTGTCGCGTTTGACTTGTTCAATGAAGGCTTCAAAGCCAGCTCCACCTGCGAGGTGATCTACTAGATCCGTTGGTGCTCGATACCCGCTCAGAGGGTTCGCACGGATTCCCTTCTTGGACTCAACCACCCGGAAGTCGACCACATGGTGCTCGTCTTCTGTATCCTGCGGCGTCGCTGGGCTCTCAGTCTGGAACTCCAGCAGCTCTTCCCATGAGAAGAGCAGCGTATCCGTAACTGCACCGAACACGTTGATGTCCAGCAGGTAGACGCGGTGACGCTTGTCCACATAAACATCAAAACTGTAGTTAGGGTCCGGGAATAAGAACTCGCCTTCAGCCTTGCGGAAGTTCTTCTTGTAGAACTCGTACAGCAGCTCACAGAGCTCGTCCTGCTGGTCTGGCAAGAACTCGTAAAACTCGTCACAATTACGCTGCGACACAGCCACGAGACGGCGACCGACGACAAAGCACCGGAACAGCATCGAGTCCAGGAAATTGCACCACTTTTTGAGCACCAGGTAGCTTTCTGTCGGCGAATTCTCGGTATTCTCACCACTGCAGCCAATATAAGGCTGCGTGAGGTCGTGTACGACAAAGTCTGAGGCCTGGAGCAGCAAAAATATGTCCTCGAAGTTCGTGCACTTGAGTGAACCGAGCATCCACGCAGCGTCACGTGGTGCACTCCAATTGGTCTTTGGGAAGAGTTTGCCGCCAAAATCCTGCAACACCTTCTCCACCTTCCTTTTAACTGAAGAGATGACAGCGAGTTGATCGTCTGTAAGCGCGCTGGCAGCATCTACTTCTTCGTCATCATCTTCATCTACGATCCCAGACGCTACAGGAGCCGATGGGAGCGTCACTCCGTCCGCTAGCAGCAAAGATACGAACTCAGTCGGTAGAGGAACCACTTCACCTTTGATGCACACGCGTTTAAGCTGCGGATACCAAGCCGCGAACGCGCAGTTGTTCACCTGCGCCGCCGAGTACGACGGTCCAGTCGCCATCTTGCTTAGCGGATTATTAGTGTGCGTCACATTAGAATCCAGTACTCCGAATTAATTAGAAACGGTTTTTAATACTCTCAAATAAGAGTGAAAGTAGAAAGGTGCCACGAAGCCAATTGAAGACAAGACACTAAAAGCTCGTGTGCCATCATGCCGATCATCACCTTCGTTGCGCGCGTCTCGGACGGCATGTTGCTGGTACGTACCTCTCCCTTGGCAAAGGGATATTTTAGCATCACCCGGCGCAAGTTTGGTTGCGCAGATATCTTTCTATCAACAGTAAATGTAGCATAATGGCTCACCTTGGGGTGATATTATTCTGCAGGTCGCGTCCATGGAGTCTATTGGTGACGCGAACGGAAACCTGGACACGTATAAGCAACAGGCTAAACAGATAATGAAGCGATTGGATCAACGCTCGCCCACCAAGTGCAGCATCGAGTCGGGCGCCTACACCTTCCAGTACGTTAGCGCGAGAAGAACGTCAGTTAGTAGCCTCTAAACGTTATGTTGTTTGATACTATACAGCTACCTGATCCAGGAGGGCGTGTGCTATTTGACGCTGGCGGATCGAGGGTTCCCTAAGCGTCTGGCCTTCTTGTATCTAGAAGAAGTGCACGCAGGCTTTGTGGAGGAACTGGAACGCGACAGCGGCAGCAACTGGCGTGACGTCGTCACGACTGTCGCGAGGCCCTACGCATTCATCAAGTTCGGTAAGAAAGCGAGTTTTCTGCTGGTGGCTCTAGTTGTTCATAAGTATTGTGATACTACAGACAAGTTTATCCAGAAGAAGCGCAAGGAGTACGCCGATCCCAGCTCTTCGCAGAACATGCACCGCCTGAACGACGACCTGGCTGATATCCACAATATCATGCGCAAGAACATCCAGGAGGTTCTCAACCGCGGCGAGCGTGTCGAACGTATGTTCCAAATGTTGTTAGGAAAGGCAAGGTTGTTGCTGACGATCCTCTCTCTGGGTGGTTGCTGTGCTTGTTGTCAGATGTTTCGCGTATCTCGTCGAACTTGGCGGACAGATCAAAGGACCTCAAGTGGGGGGCCAAGAAGCTGCGGATGCAGGCCATCTACCGCCAATACGGCCCCATCGTCGCTGTCGCGCTCTTCGTGCTGCTCGTTATTTACATCAAGTTCTTTTAGATTAGGCAACAGCAGAGTTCCAGAAGTTGAGCAATGGTGTTGCTCGGCATACTGAAGGAGATATTACCTAGAAGAACTATTAAATTCGAGATCGATTGAGTGAACTTGCTGTACCTGCCTGTAATGCTCTAGTTGTCGAGTTATTATTGCGCATGAAAGGTCGGGACGCGATCTCTCGACTATCACGTCCACTGGGCTAGATCAAAAGAGCTGTAGCATTGAAGTCATGGCCTCCAAGGATATCTGGACCGTGATCTCCACGGAGGACTCAACCAAGAAGCCACCAAAAGCAGCGGATGGTGCTGAAGGCGAAGCAGTCGAGAAACTTATGGCTGTCCCAACACCTGAGGAGCGTGACACCTTTACACTAATTGTCGGTCCTCGTGGATCTGGCAAAACCTCACTCACAGCCAATTTCCGCAATTCATCAAAAGCCGAGGAGATCAAGCCAACCACCGCGTTAGACTACGTGTTCGTTCGACTGCGTACTGCTGGACGACCGTCAGTAGCGCACATGTGGGAATTAGCGAGTACCAAATGTGTAAACGAAATGATCAAAGTCCCACTAGGACCGGAGCGTGTCTTGAATGGGGCGCTGGTGATTGTACTGGATCTGTCGGCTCCTGGAGACGTCGTGGCGGCATTGGTGAAGTGGTTAACCACACTTTACACAGTTGTAAAAGAGGTTCTGAAGGCTAAAGAGAAGAATCCAGTGGACAAGTTCGCTGTTGATGCGCTTAAACACGACGCCATGGCACGGTATGGCAACGGACACCCAGACAGGGATGAAGTCGCACCTTTACCTTTGCCAGTACTGGTAGTAGGCAACAAATACGACACGTTTCGAGACGAGGACTCAATCAAGCGCAAAGGGATCACTCAGGCAGTAAGGTATCTCTCACATATGTACGGAGCCAGCGTCCTGTTCACCAGTATGAAGGACAAGAACCTCGTGACACAATTCCGATCAATCATGAAGGGGTTTGCGTTCCGAGCCATGGCTCGAGGTGCCAGTAAAGAGGTCGATCCCGCCAAACCATTATTCGTGCCAGCAGGAGCTGATCTATTCGAGGATATTGGTGTTCCAAAGAGCGCAGCGTGGCGTCAAGATCGATTCGGGAAAGATCAACATGAAGAAAAAGCTCGACAATGGATCAAGATTGCAAGCGAGTATTATCCGCCGTCAGCTAATGCAAGTGAAGACCTGCTTACTCAGAAAGAATTAAGCGAGCAAGATGATAAAGACGGCGAGGAATCGTCGAATCAATTCCCTGAGCCAAACATCGATCGTGCACGGCAGCAGAAACAGTAAGCTACTGACCTGCTGTACTACGCAGTAGTTCCTTGTCTAACCATTGTTTTGCTAACCAGGGAGGAGCTGCGTCGATACCGCGACAACCGCCGGAAAGCACAAGAACGCAAGTCCCGTGGTGCGTGAGACTCCACGTCAATATAAAGAGGACTCTTTTGCACCTACTGAATCAATAAACGACTCGAAATTCTCGAGTAAAGCCCTCAATACTGCAGAAAGTGTGCCTATTAGCATTCAATTATGCAGCACCCCTCTCTTCTGTATTGTGTAGCCATCTTCAAACTACTCAACCTTAACCTGCGAGATGCCGCTCGCGTCAATCAACTGCAATGAACAACAGCAGTGTCAATAACAGCTCATTCTTTCAACAATCGTTGTATCTCGTACCGTGTACGCCCATTGGCCGTTGCGCACGAGGAAGCGCATGTCGAGCTCTGCGCGGCACTTCTTAAGCACCTCTTTGGCCTCATCCAGCGTCATGTCCGGCTTCCACTCGCGGTCGAAGATGGACAGGCAGAAGTGCGCACCATAGCCGTGTGCTCCAAAGTTCACCTTGACCATGGAGCCGAGGTAGTCGATCCAGTGCAGACTAGGGTCGGCCTTCTGCTCTGGCGTGGTATCCACGGCGCCGATAAGCAGGTTCACCTGGTACGGGGAGCGGCGCAGGAAACGCGCTAGCTCGCCGCGCACGTAGTTGGCGGTGGCTGGACCGTTGAGCGTCACGCCGTTGCGCAGCTCGTAGAGCTTCATGTTCTTCTGAATGTACTCGCCAAAGGCCAAGCGGTCGCTCTGCGGACCCGATGTGACCATCACTTTGTGATCGTCCAGGTTAATGGACTGGTAATTAGTGACGATAGAAAGTTAGATGGCGAATTACGAGGCGTAGAGTGGGAAATAGAGCGCGATAATTGCAGGAGATACGCACCTTATCTTCGTCATCTTTATACACCAGGATGCTGCGCGCCACCTTGCAGTCAGCGGCCAGCAGCACGAAGTCCTTACCCACGATGCCGAAGATCGAGTCCATTTTGTTTTGTTTCTCCCTCTTTACGTTGTGGATCTAGTGAGATCCTGTATGCGGACTTTTACCCAATCCAGTTACATTATGCATTAGGATTCGTTGAAAGAGCTCCAAACTTATTGATTGGTAGATAATGCAATGTTGAAGTGCCAAAAATGCCCAAGTCACAAAGTTGCCCTCAAGTAGCTTTTTTTTGCTAGCTTTAAGTGAGTTCTCTGACGTTACTTTGCTGCAATCTCTGCGGTTAGTCTCACAAGCTGCAGTACTACTGCCATACATCTAAAGCTAAGTTAGCTTTCATTCGAAACGCACTATAATACTACGTAGTATAGTGTGTTTCGACATAATCACATATTATGCGATTATTAGATGGACGAATGCTGTCATCTATTCAGATCGACGGACCTCCTGTTGGACTAAGGCTTCGTCACTGTGAAAGCGTCTTGAACACGTTGAGTCCGGCACAAGCGTCTTGGTAGTTGATGACGGAGGCTCCTCATATCATATGAACAATATCATTCGGCACCTTTGAAGGTTATGTGGGCGTGTGTTGTAGGGGCCAATTACGCCAGACTCACTTCTCCCTGTCGAAACGAGGCCGGCCACCCTCAGAACGAAAACTCCTCCAAGCTGCAGCGCTGATAACGAGCAATACCTCGCAACGACATACTATCCCACAGCCAAGGAGTTGCAGTGGTCCTGACCGAACAATCCGGCACCAAATCTTGTGACCGGAGAGCCAATTCGCCGCCTATTCATCAAGTGGTGGCGGCGGAACAGAGAACACTGATCTACGAGAACACGCTGCGCTTACTCACGAAACACCACAATACGATTTATGAAAATTGTAATTCATTCCGTTCGTAGTGCTCTTGAGACCATATAGTCCACTTTATCTCAAACACCAGCCACGTGGGTCAAAACAACCAGCAACCTAGCTCTCGAGCTCACTTGGCTTGTATTCTCGGAATGTCAGGTTAAGTCTCCCCGAGCGCATACGCAACCAGGACGGCTGTGTGCCGTTATAAACCCTCGTTAGTGCATGCACTACATTCCTCGCTGGGCCACCAAATACCAACGCATCGCCCGATTCAAGGCGGACGATCGGTACCGCCTCATGCGGCTCCGGGTAGTGATCAATATACGCGAACTCGGCCGCACATCCAATTGAGAAAGAAATGACAGGCGAGCCCATACTCATGGCTTCATCGCTCTCGTCTTTGTCAATGTGCATGCCATTCCTTCCTGCCTTCTTGTAGAAATTGACAACACAAATGTCCGGCGTCATCTTCTTGCACGTCCCCATCACAAGTGGGTCGATCACCTTGGCTGCGTCCAGACTGCGTTGTGCATGCATCTTCCAGCTCTCAGGTAGTGCAGGAACCAGTGCATTGTCATGGTTACTGCGTCGGTCTTCGTACTTCTCCGTCTTGACGTTCCAGTGTCGCCCGAGGCACATCTGGTGGAGGCGACACTTGGCACCACTGGCGTACGTAGGCTTATAGAACCCTCCCTCTCCTAGTCCCATGTGTCTTGAATCATTAACCAGCTCTTGCTGCTCTTGAGGCGTTAAAAACCCCTTGAGAATCACCAAACCAGGCAGCAAAACGCCAGTGGAGGCACTGCCGCGAGGAATACCTTTGTGGTTGAGTTCTGAAGATTTCAGTGAGTCATTTTCAACGTTTAAACACTCATTTAGATCAGAAGGTACTGGAGAATGAACAGGGCAATGCGGTGTATTGAGAAACAGGTCCAGCTCGTGCTCATCCGCCGCGTGCTGCAGCCGGTTTGCCTCGATTCGATCAGCTTTGGAGTTCCTCATGGCGAAGCTCACAATATATGTGGCCAACACAATATTGATGTCAATTTTGTGTACGATCACATTGTACGTGGTAGGATGTCGCCGGCAAGTGAAGTGGTGTTACGCGTGCGGGCATATGGGCAGCAGAATGTAGAATTTGCGCTTTCTGGGCCCGCATCTTACGAGAATAGAGGGCCTTCTACCTGGTGGTTGGTCGTCGTATTATTCTTCTGCTCTGGTGGCGTGTTATCGACTGTTGAATGGGGAGTATCATCCTCGTATCGATTACTATTGGGGCTGCTGCTGGCTGTATTAGCCACGTGGGTCTTCCAAGCCTCAGGCAACGTCATAGTCGAAGGTACACTTCTTGAAACGTAATTGTTCAGTTATACTGCTCTGCTTAATACTGATCGATATTTCTTGCTGTGTCAGAGTCGATGCTGGTGGTACCTGCACTCGGAGTGAAGCTGAGCAAGAGGCGACGCAATGGAGCTGTAAGCAGCAAGGTATGATCGAAGACACGCAGGTAGATCCATATTTTACGCTAACCCTTTGTGTATAGTTCGTGGATCTAGATAAGATTTGCGGCGTCGCAGTGAACGAAGCAATCACGTTCTCCAACGTGGTGTACTCATTGGTATTCATGGTCGAAGGGCAGAGTGAAATGATGCTGCCATTCGAGGTGAGTACAAAGATCGAAGACCAGAATGATGATGTACTGACGTGTGTATGGGCAGACGTTTCGACCACGGGTGGTGACACTACAGGAGATTTACCAGGATACAAAGACACTGCTTTTCCCCCATGGTAGTGACCGGAAGATGCGCCTTCCTGAGGGCATCGCACCTCGGACGTGTTGACCTTATTGATCATTGTGTTGCTCTAGAACCAGTTTTGATTGTTGCTACTGCGTCCTGTTTCTTTTTATCGTTTAACCTGTTTGGAATGCTGAGAATCCGCCATCTTCCTTACAGGAGACGGTTGCGAATGTCCTCAAGTTTCTTCAGTACCTCGGCTGGCGTCCGGTCGAGGTCTTCAGCCACGCTAGCCTGCTTCTCCACGCTGAGAGTGCTGAACTGCTCGCACAGATCACCGTCCGTGATGTTCTTCACGGGGATGTAGTACGACCTGTACGACAGGTGGTCGCGGCCGCAAAGAGGAGACTGTTCCTGGCGCATATACATCTCCAAATGGGTGTAAAAATCCACGTCCTCACGCGAGGTAAACGGGATGAGAGCACCAATGCGACCCATGATAGTCGCGTAGATGATCGCCTCAGTGCCACCGGGGACCAAGCTCGAGCGAGCCATGCTGGTCACCACGTCGCCCACGTGGAACTGCGCCACCTGCTCTAGTTTGTTGGGTGCACCATTAAGAAGACCAGAGTCCCACAAAATACGGTTGCCTGTCGGATTGTCGATCTCGTCGGAGACCTCAGACGGGAGTCGAGAGACGAACACGTTACCGAACTTGTCAGCGCCACACAACGTGTCGTAATCCAGCAAGACGCTGCTAGTGATGAAGCGGGGCACACAGTCGTCAGCGAAGATGACCAGTTGGTTCTCGTCCTTCTTGTACTTGACAAAGTGGAAGGACTCGTGCATGTCTGAAGCGTAGATCCGGTCGCCAGCAGCCTTCAGCTCCACCAAAATCGATGGGAAGTTGCGGTTCTCGCACTTGCGCAGCATCTTCTTCTTTCCTAGGTCGTAGATTCGCAATGCTCGTCCCACAGAGACTAGCAGACGTCCCTGGAACTCGCACATGGCGTGCGGAATATCGTCGATTTCAGTCGTGTGCACAAGCACTAGCTGCATGCCTTCGACAACACGGTAAACACGTAGGTAGCCTCCTGCTGGCGCCTTCTGAGGATGTAGTTGCATTTTCTTCACAGTACCCACAATAATAAACGCTTCCCCGCCACGGTCGTGGAACACACAGGCAGCAATGCTGCGGGCTCGCTCATCCACATCCAACTCCTCGCACACAACCGTCTGACATGAAGCTGGGTCAACGATCCGCACACAAGACGCCCACTTGTCCTTTTCAGCAGGAAGGGGGCCACGAGGGAACAGTAACGCGTCATTAATCTCATCCTCCGCTTCATCCTCTAGTTCGTTAGCACTTCGAATGTCCGGGATCTGGAGTCCATGCTGCCTCTTGAACGCAGCACCGTATTCATTGTGATCACTTTCAATAACAACGAGTCGTCGGGATGGAGAGTGCACAACCGCTCTGCGAGGAGTGTAGCGGAGATTACACTTCTGCTGGTTGAAAGTGTCTCCCAGCTGATCCACAGTCAAGATCTTCATGCCTTCATTCGTCAGCGCTACAATACCGCCGGGGCATTGCTCGGAATTGAACGAGCTGGCATACGAGAGTAGCTCACACGACAAAGGGGTGAGGTGTCTCCGTGTCTGGTGGAAGTACGAAATCCATGCACGACTGGAAAGCGCCAGGATCGAGCGCTTGCATTCAACTGCCACACGGAACAATTTAACTGGGTTTGTACCGAGGAAACGGGAGCGAGAGTCCGTCAACGTCGCTGTGATCGGGTCGATTAGCGACTGCTGAAGCACACCATTGTCCAGACCAATGCTCAAGAACAGCGCTTGCGACGAGTGCTCCGAGTCAGGAGTCGACGGTTCGTTCTGCAGCTGAGCCAGGCAGAGTGTGTGAGGGTGTGACGTCAAGGCCAGCGTCGATTTCTGTCGGAACAGCTCGTTCGGGTCCAGCGACAAGATGCGGACTGTGTTATCCCAGCTACCAACAGCCATAAACTGGAAACGTTGACGTCCTTCAGGAACTTCTCCCAAGTCCAAGCTGCAGACTTCGAAGCCGAGATCCAGCTTTCCTTTCTCTGCAAGTTCACCGGACTGGCCCAGCTCAAAGTAAATAATCTCACCGCCAGCAAGCGAGATGACAACCTGACGAGAGTTTGCAGCACAGTGCTCAATCACCTTCTTTCCAGGTGCTTTCCACTCCGTAACAGGCCGGAACTTGGGCACATGGCGGATTCCGTTCGTGTGAATCTGCAGCTTCGAATCGTCTTCTAGTAGCGCCACCAGCAGTGATCCATGGTCACGGAGGAATCCCGATTGAGCCACTTCCTCGACAGTCTCGCCCACTTCTAGCACCAACGTCGCATCTTCAAAGCTCACAACAATGTACTTATCGTACGGGTCCGCGTACGACTCCTTCAAGCACCACACCGCCTTGGCAACACCCGGCAACGCACTTGCTGCCATCTCCGTGACCGGAAGACCATGGCGCAGCACACGCAGCGACGAGCGGTTGTTGTTACCACATAGCGCGTACATCTGCGGGGTCTGTTCATTGGCCAAATCATCCACCAACAGCTGCGTAACGGGACTCAAACTCGGGGACGAACTGGCCAGCGCCAAGTTCGTCAACTTTCTCAACGGGAACGTCGAGAACTCGGTGGGGTCCATGGCCAAACTCGAGCACTTGGCTGTATCATCTCCCTCGCCAATACTCAAAAACTGGAATAAATAGTGGTTCGAGAACTCGGACGCGCAGAAGAGCAGCCCTGTCTTGGTGATACACATGGATGACGCCACTGGAACAGTGTCGAAGAACTGAATCTTGATCTCTTCCACAGCATTACCCGAGTAATCCAGCGAGATCTTGTACAGATCTCCCAGTTCGGACTGCAGCAGCACGAAGAACAGGTCTCTCTGCTTGTGTGTGGCCGCCGAAACAATGATAATATCTCTATGCTCGCCTTCACGTCGTGGGATGGCGCATGTTAACTCTGGGTGGCCCTCGTTCTTGTACTGCACAGTGCTCTCCCCCAATACCAACACTCCTCCAGGTCCGTCACCACCTCCAGGGACGGCCACGAGCATATTGGCGCTCCTCACGACCTGTTCACTCCAGCGTCTGGTCACGTGATTGAGTCCCAAGTCCAGTTCGTAGTACACCAGCGTCTTCACAGCTTCTCTAGCTGCTTGGCCACTGGGATCAGCGTCTGCCTCGGCGTAATCCAGCTCCAAACAGGCAAAGATGGGATTCTCAAAGCCCACGTCCAGCCCCACAACGCCCAAGTGGATGGCGTTGGAGCGATGCGCTTCCAAAGGCGACGAGATAGTGAGACGACTGGACGCGTCGCGGTTCATAACATAGACCAGTTGCTGTTTCTCCACGGCTCCGATGAGCACGGCACGGCCCTTTGGGTCGGCAGCCAAGTACTGGCCCGGTGTGATACGCCTGCAGCCTGTTTTACCGTAAGTTTCACTCTGTCGGGCCTCGAATCGGCTGGAAGTAGGGTTCACCTCGAGTACCACGATCTTTCCTGAGTCGGAGCCTACCACGAGGTAGTCTCGGTCTCCTCCTGTGAGCCGGAAGGGCTGGAGAGCGCGCACAACCCCGAAGACTTGCGTCGAAATGATGACCTCCAGTCGCCCCGCCTCATCCGGACGCAGCAGCTGCAGCACGTCACCGCGAGCCACAACGAACTCCTGTGCCTGCGGGGCCGAGAAGTTGCCATACACGGCCAAGTGCACGCCCGTGGGTGGCTGCAGCGTCAGGTTCAGGAGGTGCATCGCTGCGCTTGATTGGAGCCAAAATGCGGATTGGGGAAGGTTGGTGTTTCGAACGTAAAATTAAGTGTTACACGTGTTATTGTGTTCAACACGTTTTCACTTCAAATTGAAGTGGTTGAGTTACAGCACGATCGTTGGGACGAGTCTACCTCGTCCCGCTCGGATGAAGAATGTCTCCTCGCTGAAGGTCACAACAGTTTGTGTCATGAGCAGTGGAAATCGCAAGCGGAAAGCGGACGGCGCGATGAGCACAGTAGCCACCTGCCGGCAACTTCTGGAGCAAGAGTCTTCCCGAGACACTGAAATACAAGATTTAAAAGCGGAAGTGCAGAGACTGACAACTACAAACGATCGTCTACGGCAGCGCGAGCAGGGGTTTGACGCAGATGAAGCCCTCGCCCGACTATCGACGTTATGGGTTACCGGTGACGACGGCCTTCTGCGGAGCACATTAGCTGGGCGTGGCAGATCGCGTACAATGAAGTTGCGAACGGTGACACTGTCGAATCAACCATCGAAGGGACCTGCTGGCGAAGAAGCTAAGCAGGGTGTGCAAGCAGCTCGGACGCCAAGGAAGAGAGGAGGGAGTGGCTACTCAAGCGCTGTCTCCGATGCTGGCACTGATGACACTGACGAGGACAAGACACAGGCTATAACTCGACGTCGAAAGCATAGAGCGAGCTTAGCCTAGTGTACTTTATGCTATGTGCTTGCTATCCTATCTGTTTTTAAGTAATGTATTAACTGTCATTTCTTAAAGCTTGCATGACTGAGAACTAAAGCATTCTTTGAAGTTTTGAGAGGACAGCGCAGTGTTTGACAGGTGAAGGGCTGACTCGCTTACACGGGATATGGCAGTAACAAACACAGACGCTGAAATGGGTCAATTGAAACAGCTGAAGCAAGCGCGCGGGAGTGAATGCCGATACACTCGACAGCCCAGCCCCGGTTGTGCAGAGTGAATAAGTTCACCGACACGGACTAGTATCCTGAAGATCTCCGTGCGATTCAATTTTGGAGCTCAGTGGCAGCTCGACTGTCCGCTGATACATGCATTTACTCTGAAACAGGTCATCGGCTGTGCCCTCTTTGAATGTACATGCATCCTTCCCACACGTGTCATGAAATGATTGCACCGAACAAATCAATCCCACCTTGACATCGATTTCGTAATGGAGGAAGAGCTCAAGAAACTGCAGGCGCGGGCCGCGCAGGAATGGAATAAACTCCGCAGTATTGCCGCCAACCCACAGGAATTATTGCAGCACCCTTCGGCCCCCTTTGTCTGCAGTGCTTTCGTGCTCGGTATTGGTGTAGGTCTGGCCATTCCTCGTCTGAGGCAGCCGTTCCGTCGGTTCTCGACCGTGGAGGATCTCCCCAATAGACTTTTCCATGAAGAAGGCAAGATCAAAGCTGTGGCGGTGAATTTCAGCGACGGCGACACGTTCCGAGTGCGTCATTTACCGCTGTTCCGAGGGGCCGGGAGATACGACGGTAAACTATCGGACCACACACTGCAGATCCGACTTGCGGGCATCGGTGCGTTGCAACCTCAATGCTACAATAGCTTAGACTCTGATGTTTTTATTATGGATAGATACACCGGAGACGGCCAAGTTCGGCAACCCTGGTCAACCATTCGGGGATGAAGCTAAGCAGTGGCTCACTTCGACGTTGGAAAGCAGGAAGTTGACGCTCACACTGCTGCATAAAGACCAATATGCTCGTGCAGTGTGTATGGTGCAGTACGGTTGGTGGCCTTTTAGACGTGACGCATCAGAGGAGATCCTCAAAGTCGGACTGGGGCAAGTGTATCGCCAGGCGGGGGCAGTGTACGGCGGTAAACAGGAAATTTACGAGAAGCTGGAGGAGAAGGCGAAGAAGAAGAAAAAGGGGATTTGGAGTCAAGGCAAGAAGATGGAGAGCTCCAGTGACTACAAAGCCCGCATGCGTGCCAGTTAGACTTCGAAGTACTAGCCTGGAGTTCTGTGCGATGATCCAAGCTCAAATTTGTGCAATTGGTGATGCGGTTGCGCTGGAGTTGCCCAATCGTGACAAGTTCGCTTCATGGTTAATTACGAAGCAGGTGAGCTACATTTTTGCGTTGGTTTGCTGTTTTATTTACCACTGCTGATACCGCACTTTGCACCCAGCAGAAGGAGGCACACCTACGAGATGGTAGTGCTTGTAATATTCTATCCACTCAATTGTTCATATACAACTTGTTACCATTACAAGTTCTCGAAAACTAACAGTGACGCAGCCTTATAGCCCAATTGATGATTGATGGGGTGGATACAGTTGGGACAAAGCGAAAATTCCACGTCACCTCACGTCACTCTTCTCATTTCCTCCAGTTCTGCTCTCAACTCATTTTTACAGTTTCTTCACGATGGAGCGAAGAGACCGCAAACGTAAGGCACAGGAAATCTCCGAGTCCCCGCAATCTGTGTCGGAGACGATCCACGAGCTCACGTCCGTCTTGGCTGAGAGTGACGCGATACTGCGGGCGGAGATCAGTGAGCTGCGAGATGAAGTAGGCAAACTGGAGAAACATCTGAGCGACAAAGCAGAAGAGTGCAACCGCCTCCAGTCGATAGTCGACTTCTTCCATCCTGACGCTATCATGGATCGGATCCACTTGAAATTATATATTCACGGGGACCACTCGATGCTCCGCAGGGCGATTGATCCACAATCGCGGGCGCTAAGAAGCACAGACGCGCGAGGAGATCGGTATCTCTTTCTCAGCGAGACCCCGGCCAAGAAAAAGAGCAAGACGGCTAAAGCTAACGAGTTCTCGCCGAAACATGAGGACGAGAAGGACGTGACTTCGATGATACCAGCAACAGAACCCGTTGCCGCCACAAACGCCGATGACGCTGAAGAGAAACAGCAGGACGATGAAGACACTCAAGATGAAGATAGTGCTCCAGCGACGTTCGATCTGCAAGCACAGTCCGCGACAGCATCGCAAAAAGAGATAACAAGCGACACCGTGATGGAACCAGCTGCCGAGATTGACGGTATGAACCCCGATGGAGTGCCTGGCGTAATGTCTAGTTAAGTTCTGCAGATTGAAGGCCTCTAGGCTTGCAGCTTGTCAAGTTTTCAATTAAGTGAGCGTATCATTAAGCACTAAAAGCTTTCACTCTCAAAACCCCAAGTTCGTGAGATTTCTATATGCCAGGAATGCTCCATTGTTTCAAAAATTCTGTGAAAAAGAGAGGTAAACTGCAATGCCTGAACCCGATGGCGTGGGATACATTAGATGTCAAATCTGGACAATTTGAGCGTAACCTGTCAGTAAAGAAGATATGCTGCGTATAATGCATTCCTTTCGTCGTGTTCGGTCTTATGCTTGAATGAAGCCGGCATGGCTACCAGAAACTTTCAAATTATAGTCTCCTTCGGCGTAAACTACAGGTTGAAGGCTTCTTAGCCAGTATCTCTAGACGTTTTTCGGGCAACGGAAGGCAAGTGATGTAGTTTCCGCTTTCTATCTTCACTAAAATTTGTTCCTCAGTTAATATTATGCACAAAGATAGTCGAAGTCCATCACACAAGCTTGCCAACCCACAGGAATGCGCCGATCTTAATTCGACGGAAGGTCTCAGCACTCTCTTTCATCTTGGCAGACGTTGGCTGAGCATAGGATACGAGTTCGATGGTTGATAGCTGTGTCCACACAAGTCAAAAGCTCTGTGCTGCCAAAACTGGCCTCGCTATTATTGGTTTTGTCGTCAACGCTATTTCTCATCTTGCAGTACAGGAGAGCGAACTGCAGTAGGGGTCTCTCCACCATGGGCAACTCAGCGCTGTCGCGGGAATTCTCGGGTCGTCGCTTGTCGACGGAGGAGCGCGAGGCCATGAAGCGCTTCGGTGAAGAAGAAATTAGACTTCTACGCGAAACTTTCAAAGGTCTAGCTAACGGCAAAGACGGTATTAGCGTGGACAAGGAGACTTTTCTCAAGTGTTTTCCTATGCGTGGATTGCTGGGCGAACGATTGTTCGAGGTGATCGACAAGGATGGCTCCGGCTCCATCCACTACAATGAGTTTGTCTATGGACTGGCCATTCTTTTCAGAGGATCAAGAAAGGAGAAGCTTAAATTTATCTTCGATCTCTACGACCTCAGCGAGTACGTTCCTCTTCAGAGCTGTATCCATCTTTGTCTAACTCCGAGTGCTGTCTAGGGCTGGATCAATATCACGCCATGAGCTCATGACGATGCTGCATCAGTTCCCCGAGTCGGCGTTGGATCTCATCAATCCGAAGACTGAGCATGAAGAAACAAACAATTCTTTAGAAGTATCAACCCCGGTTAATATGGTGCGTACAATTAGTTTTATACGAAAGTTTGTGAACACGGCTGACCTGCTTTTTGTTGTGCTTCTTTAGATGGAAGAGGTTGAGGCACTAGTGGACATGGCATTCCCATCTCCGTCCACTCCCAGCACACGTCTAAGCTTTGAGCAGTTCTGTCACTGGTGTGAAAACACCCCCGGGGTTACTAACGTACGTCATCCTTGCAGGAATATCTCGCTATTGATCTCTCATCACCGATATTGTTTTCATCCCCGCAGTTTCTAATGAGCGTCCTACCTGTGGAAGATCATGTGCCGAGGGATGGTAACTTAAGTCCCCGTGGTAGCAGTACAGCCCCTGTTGCACCAGTAGACGGGTATGCCTTCTGTATTCACAACAGATACAGTGAACACAGTCTAACTATGTGGTGATACAGGTCCACTTTACCCCCTGGAAGTCCCTGCCCTGGCGAGCTCGGGGACCTGCGTAAGAAACACAACTCGTTTGCCAACCTACACATCAAGTACGTTTGCTAGAATGTATATCTATTTTTTATGAATAGCTGACAGAATCATAATGAACCTCTTCCAGCCGAACTGCTGCGAAAGCGAATGCTATCCCCTCAGCGGATCCATCAAACCGTAAAGAGTTGGAAAAGACTCGCAATCTACTGCAAGAAGCCAAGTGTTCCTGCAATATCGAGAGTGTGACTGTCAAAATTCAAGTTGCGCTAGCTGAAGTGGATCGCCTGCTCTCACTACCCGCAGGGACTTCAGGAGTTCTAAAGTCCGAATCGAGAGGTGGCTCCTTCACGAGTTCTGGTGGAAGTCCAACGCCTTCACAAGCATTAGACGAACTTCCAGGAGTGACGTTGATCGAGGATTCCTCCAGTGTCTCTGGAGACTTATGGAAGCGAGGCTCGCGTCTACGAAAGATGATCAAGCGCCACTACGTGCTACAAGGCAACTTCCTATACTACTACGCGTACGTCCACACTACTATTTCATGTTACGAATTGCTACAACTGAGTCGATTGTAATATTTGTCGTTCAGCTCTCCGGATGATACGGCACCTCGTGGGGTGGCATTTTTGAGTGATTGCTATGTGGAGGTACAACCCGAAAAGAACGAGATCGTGGAGAAAGGTGTGCACTACTATGGAATTGATATTGTACCGGAACCTGGTAGTTCACGTGAGAAGCGTACAGTATTTGCTCGCTCACTTGACGCCCAGAAACGTTGGGCAGCAGCACTCCGAAAAGCTACTGACAAGATTTCAATTGAAGAAGTATACAACGTCGGTGCGCAACTTGGTCGTGGACGATTTTCCAAAGTTTGCGAAGCCACACACAAGCGTACAGGCGTCAAGTCGGCAGTGAAAATCATCGACAAGAGCAAGTTGCAGCCCACTGAAAAGGAACTTTTACGCACGGAGATCGCCATCTTGAAGCTCGTTCACCACCCGAACATTATCCGACTATATGATGTATACGAGGATCGCCAATACATCTTCATTGTCACGGAATTAGTGTCAGGTGGAGAATTGTTTAACCGGATCGTCGGTCGTGCACGATACACCGAGGCCGAAGCTCGTCTGGTCATGCGTCCACTACTTGAAAGTGTCAGCTACTTGCACCGATTGGGAATTGTGCACCGAGACCTCAAGCCAGAAAATATTCTCTGTGGTGAGGCACTGACGGATCTCAAAATTGCGGATTTCGGATTGTCAAAACTTGTTCATCCGGAGGAACTTATGAAAATGCCTTGTGGGACGCTTAACTATGTGGCTCCAGAGGTGCTTGCACTTGTGGGTTATGGCCGTGAAGCCGATATTTGGTCTCTTGGGGTCATCATGTATCTACTGCTTCGAGGTGAACTTCCTTTCTATGGGAAAGCGAAGAGTGAGGTCATCCAGAAGACTTTGCATGCTGAAGTCAATCTAGAGACGGATTCGGCTTGGAGAAGTGTGTCTCCATCTGGAAAGTCCCTACTAAGAGGTTTACTTACGAAAGACCCAGCACATCGACTTACGGCACAGGATGCTTTACTACACGAGTGGTTCTTGGTCAAGTCTCCAAAGGCCCCGGTTAGTATTACTACGGGTGGTAGTGTGGTAAATGTAGCTTCACCGCCAAAAAACAGACAATAGCAAAAGCAGCTAACAGTAAGCCTAACTTCATGAAATATTACTTGTATTTGGTTCTAATTCTTCTAGGTTGTTCATCTGTAGATGGCGGCGTTAGCTCTTTGCAGACGGCGGAAGTGCATCTCAAGCACATTGACTTGAGTTGAAGAGGTGAATTTGGCTTGTAGATCAGCAATTGCCATGGCTCGTAGTGCGGTTTGCTCACTGATAGATGCAACGGACTTCCGTCGGATGTTAGCTTTTGCAAGTGACGTGGGCTGAGCTATTGGTCCACTGTTCCGAGCTATCAGGCGACGATGGCGGGGCGACAAAACTGACGGAAGCGACGTTAAGGGGTCAACGCTGCCGCACCCCAAAAGAGTTGGCTTCTTTGGCGAAGGTATAGTCTGTACGTCTGTCGGGCCATGCACGAGTATCGGTTGATCTTGAGATAACCTTCGTATCTGCCATTTTTCATGGAGCATCAATACATTTGACAGCGAGCCAAGCGATGGGCGGTGACGTCCGCAGTACTTACAGTATCTTCCTCCGGGTTCGAGAGCCCCACAGTTAGCACAGCAAAATCTCTCGCGTAATTTTATGAGAACGTCACGGAACCACAAGCGTGTAAGATATCCTCTTGCATGCCTTTGAATTATAGTAGCCGCTGCATGACTTTGACTGCTCAAAATTTCTTCCAGTTTGCGACGCTTCAACCTCACACATATCATCCTTGCTTGCCAGCCACGGATCACGCGCTGTAGTTGTAAGCAACTTCTAACAACTCTCCCATTCCGAATTCTAGTTTGATGTCCACGACAAACCCGTTGCAAGGTTATAGCAGATTTATGCGCTATGTTCAGTTCGCGAATTTGAGAGTACCAGCGGGATGAAGCCACTCGCAATATAGCTAAGTGAATCGCACTATCCAGCTTCATCAAACCGTCTCTCATGCGTCGTCGATTTCGAGCGATTCTCTTCGCCTCTTGACAAAGTCTGTGCGCTCGGTAAACTTCAGTGATTCTCAGCGCGCTACTTCGAAAACGTTGTGATTCAAGTTGTTGTCCCCTCTCTCGAACTGCAGCTCTCGCCTCGCAGCGTTTCCGTAGCATCCATCGCCGGACACAACCAAGGAGTTTTTCACGTGCTTTTGCCGCGGTATGTTCCTTCTTCATGTGGCGAGACTGTATACACAACCTGAGCCAGTCGTGCACTAGCGTATGCTTACGATTTTCCTCCTGTTGCTTCTGCTGTCGACGAAGCGTGTCAAATCGCTTGATTTCCTCTATTTGCCGCTTGCGAGTTACACAGCGTTGAAGCAGTTCATCTAACCGAGTCTCAAAGGTCCCAATTTCTTGCAGATAGTTGTGAATCGCTCGTCGCTTGGCATATCGAGCATAACTCTCCTCGATCACGCATATTGCAGCTTTTCGCAGATCTCCACGTAGTCTCTGGACTTCCTGAGCGTGTAGAGTCTCCTGGCGCCGTAATAGCCACACCTGTACTTGTCGTTGCAGTAACATTGCAGCCAACTCTCTGTCTCGTTGTTGACGTACATTGCTCTTTCTTTGCTGTTGTTTTGTATCCTCTTCATTATTGCTTACCACCACTTCAACCTGAGGCTTCAAGTGTGTTATCGCGTCACGTTTATTAGGAGAAGTTTTACCCTTGGGGACGACCAACGAACCATGCAAGCCGCAAGGATCCACAGAAGACGTTGATGCCATCTTTAACAAAGTAATTATGCACCACGAAAATGGCTACATAAATAGTCTGCGGCCTGTGATTGGCTGACAACTTCAACTTGACCAGTAACGGCGTAGACTCGGCGTTAACTTCACATTTGTGCAATGGCGCTGCCTCCTCGAGGTCATTGGGATGTGACGTATCTAAGGGCCAAGTACCCGTGGCTTCGAGTGGATCAACAAGCTCTAGAGGAGTTCCGCTCCCCCTTCGACTGGGTATCAGACGATTCGCGTCACTCGCCAACACGTTCAAATGACGGTGGAAGTGACGATAAAGAGCGAATTCGTGCGCCGCGCCGAAGAAAGACTAAGCTAAAACCTCGAAACAGAAGTGAGGGTCAGCGAAGGCATCGAGGAAAGAAGCGGGTGAAAGGCAGCGCGATACAGCGAAACCATGCCAGACTCTTCCCCCAGCAAGAAACTACCGGCATTCCGATGAATAATGCCCCATCGACTGAAGGTTTTGTCATCCCGCCGCTTGATTTTTCAGGAGATGGCTTGCCACTGATGCCATTATTATCAGCTTCAACACCGATAATTCTTCCTGGTCAGAATAGCCTAGAAGACTCAGATTCTGTGCTTGAAGTGCTGCAACAAGATCACGACTCGCTCCTGCAATTGCGACAGAAGAAGCCGAAAAAGCGCAAGAAGCAGACGAATCTCCTAACACTGCGGTTTCCGTCTATTACGCCGAAGTCACTGGGATCTGTATGTAGATCAGGGTCCATGAAACGGAATTCAACTCAAACACTGCTCGACAAATACTCGCAACAAATAAAGCACCTGACTGAAGAAGAGCACAGACTAGAAGAAAACGTAATGGCGCGCATATCTGAAGAAAAGGCCCGTCTCCCTCTTACGATCCTCTTCGAGCGCAACCTCATGCGGCGGTCGGACGCTCAACAAGACGGTCTTCGTATCGTGACTGCGATTTTTGCGAAACTCCAGCATCGAATCCTCTTCAACAGCTTCCTCCGATGGAAAGAATTCCTTGTAGCCGCTCAACACGAAGAAAGGAAACGCGAAGCTCTTCGTCAAGCTCAACAGCGTGCTGTGGCTCTCTTTGAACGAGTCTCCAGCGACGCTCACATTGGGACACTCGCAAATGGCTTCGAGCAATGGAAAATAGCTACGCACAACATGATCCAGCACGAGCGGAACCTCGCCGCCTCTGTCATTCAGAACGCAGTGCGAGCTCGTCGATCAAGACAACACTTGGAATCGCTTCGTCGAGCAGCTCAAGCGCAGGAGTATCGTCGAAATCAAGCCATACAATCGCTACTTCGCTTCGAACACTACGGTACGATGATGAAGTGGAGCACTCTACGAATTGGCTGTGACTTTACCAAGCAGACGCGTGCTGCACGAAATATACAGCTATTTCTCCGTAGAGTGGCTGTTCGAAGACGTATTGCTTGTAGAGTAATGCGACGACAAGGGGCAGTTCGAATCCAAACGCAGTGGAGATCACATCTAGCTCGACTAGAAGTTGAGCGTCGTCGAACAAAACGAGCCATTCGCTTAGCTATCGAGTGTAAAGCTGCCGTTCAAATACAACGAGCAGCACGAGGTTTTCTAGGTCGAAAGAAGGCGTCTCGAAGGAAAAATTGGCTAACGAAGGCGAAATTTGCGGTTCTGCGTGTTGAAATATGGTGGAGACAGCAGTGGTTTCTAGCAATGTTAAATCTAAAATTTAGAGCACGGAAGAGATTAATCGACGACGCTCGAGCTCGTGCTGCAGCGGAGGAAGTCGCACGATGTCACTGGAGATCGGTATTAGCAGTACAGTGTGTGGTACGAGGCCTACTCGCACGGAAAGTGTATGCTCGAAGGCTAATAGCTCGTCAAAAGGTACAAGCAGCGGTGTTTCTACAGCGCTTCTGGCGTCGACGTCGTGGCTTATATGCATTGGGTTTACGCTTTGCCGAGCGCCGCGACCGAATTGCACAATGTCGCTTGCAATCTGCTATCGTTATCCAGTGCGCATTCCGTTGTTCTCGGGCGAGATACCAACGGTATCTTCTTGTCGAGGAGAAGGAAATGCGACGAAGAGCTTCGACTGCAATTCAACGTCATGTGCGCGGAAAAAGAGCTCGAAATCTCTACCGACAAGCTCGACACGCGACGTTAGTTATTCAATGCAGTATTCGCTGTGCTTTGGCGCGACGTCGACATGCTCGACGACAAGCAGCAGTTCACACACTTCAGCATTGGATCAAAGGCGTGTACTCTTGTCGAGCTGCTCGTCACATTCTCGATCGATTGCGAGTCGAAGCACAGCGACGAGAAGCGTCTATTATCTTCATTCAGAAGCTAGTTCGTCAGCGCGAAGCTCAACAAACTGCTCGTTTGTTTCGTGAAGCTCTGAACATTGTGAAGATCGAACAACAGAGATACTTTGGCAGCGACAGTGACGGTGTCGGCTGGACAACGCACCAGGCTTCGTCAGAGTTGTTAACATATGTGACTCAGCGATTTCTCGAGGATGATTCTTGCTTTACAACCAAAGAGTTACGATGGTTACGCGCTCAAGTTCAGGCTGGATACGAACGTTTGGCTCGGGAAGATCGCGCTGCTGTGTATCTGCAGCGTCGATATCGAGGTTACGTCGCTCGAATGGGTTACTGGGTCTATCGACTGCAAATGGAGGAACTACGTCGTCTTAAGGAGAAGAAAGCGATTGTGATTCAAAGTAAAGCAAGACGATGGCTGGCTAAACGGTATGTACGTCATGTACGTGAACAGCGAAGGTTGGCTGAGCTCAAGGAGGAATATATTCGAGAACGCAAGCGCAAGGAGGAGGAACGAGTCTGGAAAGAACGGTATGATCGAGAGCAGATGGAGCTATGTGTGCAGCGAGCACAAGAAGCTGCAAACCAGATTCGAGAAGCCCGAAGAGAAGCGGATCTGGCTCGAGTAAAGGCTGAAGCAGCTGAATATCGTGCGAAGGAACTAGCTGCGGAACGTGAGATTGAAGGAATGTTGAAGAATCCCGTGATTAAAGAGAATGATGACAAGAAAGAAGAGAATAAAGAAAGAGACGAAAAGGATCCATGGATTACACTCAAAGATGATTATGGTAATGTCTACTATTACAACGAGAGTACGGGGGAAAGTAGCTGGGATCCTCCTCCAAAGAGACCAAAGACGCCAGAAAAGAACACAGATGATATCTCGATAGAGCAAGAGAGTCCAAAAGAAACAAAAGTGGAAGAGATTGACCCACTCGAGGAAGTTCTCCGCGAGGGAAAGTGTATCAAATGTCAGCAAGATCAATCGACAAAACGATGTTTGGACTGTGAAGATAACAAACGAGCGTTCTATTGCACCTCGTGTTTCAAACATCATACTAGTTCGAGTGAAGAAAGCACGGTTTTAAACGAGGTTAAGCACGACTTCGAGGTCCTTCCTGAAGCTGCAATAATGCCTGCGCGATGTGAGTCTGGGATGGAATGTTTAGTAGACGAAGACTACCCACCGAAGGTCTCAAATAACCAAGAGCCATTACAGAAGAATCTAGCTGCATACTACTGCTACGACTGTCCTACTATGACAACATCAGGCTGCTTCTACTGCGAATCGTGCTTCGCTCGTGATCATCAGACAGCCAAGAAGCTTCGACATGTGGAGAAGGCGCTACGATTCCGTCGAGGAGCTCTGTTATGTTGTGATTGTGGTCATTCTCTAGCTGTCCGACAGTGTGAGTCTTGTGGGGGTGACAAGTTCTGTGAAGCGTGTTATACCTTGTCACATACAGGAAGTCAACGTCGCAGTATGAACCACACTTGGGCAGCATTGGATGTGCTTCGAGATCTACTGGAGACGGAGACAGACACTTATTGTGTGGAATGTGACGTCCGTGCTAGCTCTAGACTCTGTAATCTTTGTGGAGATGGTTTGTGTGACGGATGTTTTGACAGAACTCACGCTAAAGGCGCTAAACGTCGACATACCTGGTTGCCGTGGTCTGTTGCAGCTCAAACGGGCGACTGGATCGAGATCAAGGACGAGAAAACTACAATTTTCTACAACGTCGAAACGAAAGAGTCAACAACCGAGAAACCTAAAGTTCTGCTCTCCGGTGAAGAGCGACATCGACTTGTGCTCGCTGAACGTGAGCAGCTACAACGTCGTCGACAAGTTGAGCTTGAAAGTGAAGTGGTTAAACTCAAAGAGCAACTGCGCGAGCTCCAAAATCGGCCGGAAAGTCGAAGTCAAAGTCCAGAAAGGAGCGTCGATACTAATCCCAGTAAATATCCACCAAAACGTGGTGTTCTAAGTAGAATGTTCAGTCGGAAGGCTACCCCTGGAACACAACAACGAGTTGAAGATCTTACGAATCCAGTACAAGCTGGAAAACAACTGGTTAGTTCGACTGGACAAGTGTCGACGCAGGTGGGAGGACTTCCAAGAGCCAACGAACCACGACGGCTGTAGCAGTGTCCATGAAGCTATTTGGCAGAACAAGCAGTGAAGAAGGTGACGCATGAAGCTAATGGAGAAGGCGCTCACGCTCTCGTTCAATCATCAAGGGATTGACCAACAGTGGATGCAAGGCCAATTTTTGGAACCGAGACGTCAATGCTGCGAGGAACATGCTGGAACTGCTCAAGAGCGGGCTGAAGGGCAAGCACGGAGTAAAACAGCTGAGAGCATTTCGGCGATGTCTGTAGCAGACAGAAAAAAGATGGTTGGAAAGACTTGCAGCGTACGCGCTGCAGGATTGCGTAGCCAGCTACATCCATATATTCAAGCATAGAGCTATCAGTAATAGTAGATGCTGGTTTGGACTTTGGAATAATGCCAAAATGACTCCAGAGGTGCCAATTACTATAAATGGAATAATGCCAAAATGACTCCAGAGGTGCTAATTGGAATAATGCCAAAATGACTCCAGAGATACCAATTACTCGACCGCGATCGCAGTTGCAAGACGACAACGACAATGACGCATACTCGCTTCAACAGAATAGTGAAGCCATCTCGGTTGAGGTTGTCGGGTCAGATGCAGCATCGATCACCGACACCCGGTCTATTGATGATATTGAAGGTACAGTAATGGAACTTCTCGGCGACATCGCGATAGATAGTGCAGCGATAGCGATTGAGAAAACCGTATATTGTCGGCTACTCCAGTTTGTAGCAGCTTGGGGATGCTCGGTTATTCAAGAGGTTCTAGATTCGGCTATTGCTCCGACTATAGATACTGACGTGAACTCCAATGATGACAGCGTCTTGAACAATTCTCGGGTACTCCTTGGACGCAACGATTTACCCCTGGAAAATCTGGATCCACCAAAAAGCTGCTCTCTGGATTATTCGTATCAGCGGGGACAATTACCGACCAAAGAACCACAGCAAAGTTACTACGACACTGAAGGTCTTGATGTTAAGGCAGCAACTCGGTCTCACCCTCGTCCTTCTTCGATCGCGTCATCTCGAATGACAATGAGGAGTAAAGTGAGGAAAAAGCAGGATGACACGAAGGTTGTAGAGTTATCTGGTCCACAGCCTGGGGTCCCTTACAGCACAGAAGTTCCACAATTGCGTTCAGCTAGAAATCGTATCGTATCACCTCGGAAGGCGAGTAATATGAGTCAAGCGGAGCAGGATCTAACTATCAACAGCAATGCGGCAGAACTGCAACTCACCATTGATACAGAGTCCCCAGGCCAAGAAAACGGTGAACCCTCTCGCCGTTCGCTGTCACCCTCGTCGATTACATCGTCTCGTCGAAGGCCTCACCCTCCAGGCTCAGCACAGAATGGAAAATCTACTAAAACATTACTATTTGGCGAGAAAGAAGACGAAGTTCAAGTGGAATATGCAGTACTGAAGACATCGCCCCGACGAGTCAGCAGCAGTTCGAAGAGTATTCTCCCCAATATTGAAAATGGACGAATCAAATCACGTTCAAACGCACCATTTCCAGCATTCGGTGTCGCTAATGAGAAGGAATCTTTCAATGTCGAAGAACCGCTGGATCAACTATTCCACGCTATGCCTTTGTCGCCGGGAGTGAAAGTTCGAGTGGGCGAAAAAGCAAACGATGGACCCGACTTGCCTCACTTTGCATCGCGAATGCAACGATCTACCTTCGTGGTAAGACTCTTAATATTTTTGAACTGTTTTCTCCGTGATTACCAGTGCATTCTTGGTTTTCATGTAGCGCATGGAGACGTCTACACTTCAGTCTCAAGTCTCCGATCTGGTTGCTTCGCGTTCTTCCTCTCCAATCAACCAGCTTAAAGTGCAGGAGCTAGGGAGAGGAACGTTTCTCACCGAGACGGCATGGGAATCCTCTCCAACGGAAAGAAGCTCAGCCAGAGACCACGATCGCTTTAATTGTGACAAGGCTGATAGCGGGAGCAAGTCGGATTGCGTGTCTTCGACTGAGCTGACGACGTCGTGTTCGTGTGACTCCTCCAGTTCATTGGTAAGATAAACAATAACACCTCGACAACAGCGGTATTCACAAAGAGTTGTACTGTAGACGCTCTTCCGAAAGTCGACTAAAGTTCACCGCCCATGTCGGTCTTGTAACAAGTCGAACGCCGAATCAAATGGAGCAGACACGATCAACTACACGGACCTCATCAAACAACGAGCTTTCCACGTGAAGCCAACATGTTTGCCATCGTCTCCAGCCAAACGTGTGCCAGGGGTGTCTCCACGACGCGTAATGAGTGCACCAGCTACGTCACGTACGCTCAATCTCTCTCGTCTTCATAGTTCTGTAAAGACTGACGTTCTTGCTGCTGTGACAGCCCTGGCACGACGAAATCTTCTCCTTACCAAAAAAATCTCCCAGTAATCTAGATAGAACAGCACAAATACTCTAGACAAATCGAAGAACAGTAGCGACACTGTAGGTTTGTTCCTTGCAATCATTTCGTGACACTATTTGAGTGAATCCAGCCGCAGTAAGGCCTCCATGTCCCTCTCGATGGCTTCTTGGACGGATAGTTCTAGAGTGGATGCATTGGAATTGTCCGGTGGATGAGAGGGCTCTGCGCCGGATGGTTGCCAATTTGCAGTGCCTGGGGGAAAAGTTGTGGGCGCTGGAACTGCTATAGTATTCCACCGGCGAGAAGCAAAGAGATCTTCAGCATACAAGTCTTTCACCTCCTCAAACATCGCGAGATCGCCCTGCATGTCGCTCGCAAAGTGTCCAGTCTGTTGATTTGGCTCGAGAACTGGCGCTTGCTCGACGGTAGAAGCTGGTTGAGTGTCGGTAGATATACTCTGCTCAACTGGGGCTGAGTTATCGATAACAATCGCGCGCTCTTGTTCAAGCTCTCGGTTTTCGCGCTCTTGTTGCAGTACCTCCTGTGCTTCTTTCAGCTCCTGCTTCAGTTGACTTAATTCAGCGTCATATTGTTCCTGCTGCTGTCTTGTCTTACTCAACATCTCCTCTTGCTGCTCCTTCACTTTGCTCTGCCATTCTTGCTGCTGTTGAAGTAGGAGTGAATGTAATCGATTTAGCTTGTCTTCACCAGCTGCTGCAGAGCGCTCAAGTCGTTCATCCAGCGCTTTCTGCTTGTCAAATATCCGTTCGCTTCTCTCCTTCAGCAGCAGCTCCTGCGCTTCCTTCAATTCCTCCTTCACCCGGTCAATCTCAGCGTCAAATTTCTCTTGCTGCTCGTTTGTTTCTCTCTGCATCTCATCCTGTTGTCGTCTTACAAGTGCTCGTAGTTTATCAACCTCGAGTTTGAGCAGATCCAGCGTCTGCTCAGCCTCCAGACGAGCACGAGTCTCCGCATCAGTGCTCTCCTCCAGCACCGCTACCCGCTCTTCAAACAAAGTCGCCTTCCGTCTAGTAGAGCGCAGTTCATCAGACATTCCCTCGATCTCTTGGGCATCTCGTCGCACTAATTGGCGCAGCTCCTTCACCTCTTCCTCCAACACCTCTCTCTGACGTTGGAATTCTTTCTCTGCTTCCTCGTGCAAAGTCCCCACCTGCAACAGATACAAACATTGATAAATACTATTCACTTACACTTTAATACGTTAGAAGGATTGTACTAGTGTTTCTTCACCTCGACGATGCGGTGAACCAATTTGGCCACCTTCTCTCGGTCTTCAGGGCACAGATCAGAGATTTTTGCTTGGCCTTTACGGTTCTCTGTCGTCTCTAGTGTGGCTTTAGTGCGTATAGAGTGCCGCATTTCTCTCCATCGCGACGGAGCGGGCTCGGTCGAAGCGCTTTTCCGATGGTTGACAGTTCGTTCTGCAGCTCGGTTCGAAGGTTGCTGAGTTCTAACTGACGTGGCTCGTACACGGGTTGTAGCTGAGGAGGTCCTCGACGAGTTGGGCGCAGTTCGAGTAGCTGGTGTTGCTCCTGATCGTCGCAAGACGCCGTTCGATAAGCCATGTCGACGCCATCCAGCTTGTGCGTCCATTGGCCTGATTGAAGCAAAAAATGGCAATAAGCTAATTTGACAATAGCTGGATACGGTAAAATTTACGTTTTGGTAAAAAAAAAAAAAAAAAAAAAAGCTGGCATGAATTGACTTAACTTGGCCGACGACTATTTACAGGATCCGATTGGATAAAATTTCGATTGTGCATACTGCCCTACAGTAAGAAGAAAAACGAGACGTGACTCCAACACCACGATGTAAGTACGCTGAGCAAAAAATACATTATAATGAGGCTAACCACTTGTCTGTCCTGTCGATCTCTCCGCTGTGTCAGTCATTAGCAGGTTTCTGCCGCTTTCGTGGTGTGAAAGGGAGGCTACGAGCTCGGTTAGATTCTGGTTCACGAACTAGCCGCAGCACTGTGGTAAGTTTGATCTGGGTTACTCTGCGCTTCCTTTTACTCGGCTTTAACTTTAGCATCTGATATCCTGTGTTGAACAGCTCAACGGCTTGAGCTTCATCCCGAATTACAGGCAGTGGTAAACCAGTTTTCTCTTCGATCCCACAAACAATGTACCGCATTAGCATCGACCACTCTGACAGTGTTGCTTTCTTTTTTGGTGTGTCTAGGTCATCGGAGGAAATGCTTTGGTAAGGAGGGTATCCACGCCGGATGTCTCCAAACCACCATAGCCTCCACGCCCCAAGAGAATCAATACTAGGAAAATCAAAGTCTTTCGGCAGCCGATGAATCTTCCCACCTCAACAAAAAATTGCGCGTGTAGCTGTAGAATCTTCATGTGCTGGTGCGATAGATTGAGCACACTGGAGACCCACATCTTCCAGCATCGATCTAATTTCAAGCCGTAGCAGCTCCCTTGTAATATTCCCTGCTGCGACACCCTTTTCTTCTAGAACTCTTTCCATGCGTCTTTCTAACATGTCGGGGAGTGCATCAATGGACTTCTGTTGACTGTCAAGTTTCCTATAAAGATCAATGTGCGGTGGAATTCCAGTTGCCTCCATCCATTAAGAGTCGCCATCTTCTAGCATTCCACCAACGCATGTCTAACGGACGGATCGGTAAATAGAAGTGTAGACAGAAGCGGGTGGTTGATCGGCAAATTTTCCAGTAGAAACTCGGTATGCTGTACCAGGGAAGCGAGACATAACTCCAAAATACCACGTAGATTAGATTCACTGGCAAGCCCCGGAAACATAACGTGAATGGTGGATTTTACCAATTTATCGGAATTGTTGATAAAATGTGGCGGTAGAGCTGCAAACTTGAAGTCGTTTACTGGAAGCCCAGCTACCACACGCCCTAAAAACTGATCTCCCGCAGCTTCATAGCGAAAATATCGGTCTTGTACCCCTCCAAGTGACCAGCCACATCGAAGACAAACACTTACGATCGACGGACCCCCCGTACTTCCACCACACGCAAATGTGGCCACGCCCTTTCTTATCGAATGTGTACCATAGCTTTTTTCAACGCCTTCTTTGTGAAGAAGACTCCCGAGTGCCTTACCAAATCTAACTTTAGGTTCTGACCCGGGAAACAATGGCCCCGGTTGGATGCGCGGGTTGCATGCCAAGTAAGCTCCTAAAGACGTTATCCAGCACGTAGATGGGTTATGTGGGTTGGAATATATGTGGCGAGGGTCCCGGGGTCCCGAACCTTCCTGATTGGTCTTAGTCTTGAAAAACAGGGCCCCGACACTGCCGTCTTTTGGTAAAAAGTGTTGCGTCTGGAGAGTTTGAACGGAGACCGACCTACACATTAAATTCCACTGAGTAGTCAGAAAAAGATGAGAGAAGCCGCAATCGTTCCTTTTGAGCGTAGCACTGCATAATTCCTTGTATAGTGAGTACGTGAGCGGTTGCTTACCGGAATTCTTTGCAGAACCTGATTGGTTTGTTTCAGCCTCGTATCGTTTAATCCCGGAAAAGATCCTCTTCATTCCCTCTCCATATTCTACTGGCAACAGCAACTCTCTCGTACGATAAAGATCCTTAATAGCGCTCCTGAATCCACTTAGCGTTACAGCTTTTACACGAGTCCGTTTGTAAGCTAGAAATTCATCAAACACCGCTGGAGTGAACTCGGAGAGGTTAAGGTCACCATCGGCTGTAAAATACCGAGCGATATTTGGATCTAAAACAGACCGTTCTTCTCGTAGCCACTTCTTGATCCCGTTGATGCTCCCTGTATACTTCTTTCTTGTATCGCGCGATATGCAAGCATCACGAAGAGCCTTCGGATCGACGAAGACAGCGTCCTCCTGTGAACTTCTTGCAGGCATTTTTTTCTGTGAAGTGATGATATGCGCTGGATATCATTCAATTTTGGCCAATTACAGCGATCCTGGTGCATACGATTTCTTAACATAATTCGATTCTTGATTGCCTATAGAAAATCTCAGTCACTCAGCGGCGTCAGGATTCACAGATTCCGGAAATCATAAGCCGATCCGCCGACGTTTTGGTTGAAAGTGCCACATAAAACTTACGTAAGTTAGAGAATGTGTAATTACCGTACTTCTCTGGCCCGCTTCAAAATGACGATTGGGGTTTTAATAAATCGCACATAACCGAGTAAATTGGATAAAAAGTGACAAGTTCTTATACTTGTCTCCCGACCACTAATTGTGACACTGGTGAACGCTTATTCCAATATTCCACTCACGGTCCATGCCAAGAACCCTCGAAAAAAAGGACATCCCACCTGCAATACGACTTCGCGTAGTGTTGTTCCTTGCCGAGCGCAGTGTCCGCGACAAGCTACTCCGGGGATCTGTGTGCGCGGCTGTGGAGGAATTTGGCCTCTGCCGCAATAGTGTCAAGAAAATAAGGGTACAGCCAGCTTCTCGATTCATAATTAAGTTCAATAGCTAATATCATGTTTTAAAAAGCATAAATATTAGACTAATTCTTATCAATCTTCTGATTGGTTAATTTTAATTGGTGGCTCACCGTTATGCCCCGGATTTTGGAAATAAACCTCGCCCTCTTTGCGTCCAAATTTTAGAGCTTCTAATTCGTTTCTGCGTGCACGGGTACATCCTATGGAAGCTAATCGTCTAATTTAATCGTCCTTAAAATTAGGTGTTATATCGCTAAATATTGACTGAACTGCGTCAAAAAACCTCATGGGATTCAAACTGCGGAGAGTTTGAGCGCATGGTGCTCATCCGTACCTGTTGCTAGTGCAACAAAAACAATATTCTCAGGTGCGCTAAACCGGGGGCTTTTCAATGGTGTGCTTATCGCTTTCTGCCGAGGTCAGGCTTCAAAGTTATCGGTAAATATATGAAAGCGTCATTTTGAAGCGGGCCAGAATCAGTAGATCAGTACTACTGATCCACGCGATCAAAATGTGGAACTGTCATATTTGATGGCGTGGACACGTTGAAGTGGATAAGGATTTCAAAAATCATTGTTCATGGATGGCTCAGTATCGAACTAGCACCGAATCAGTGAGATATGGCAACGGATTTCACAGCGTACGGCACGAGTTCGCTCGCTAGTGACGAGAGTTTGAGTGCTCGATCTGCTGCTCGACGCAAATGGATCAGATGGGGGTTCATCAGCGCCCCCACGGGTATCATTTTGGCCGGAATGGTAGTGTTGGGTATCTCTTCCCACTCCGTTGAGTCGATTATTGCCACCGCCACCCCCGATGAAGGAGACGTCAAGTGTTTCCAGAGCTCGTACGTCGACAACGTGACCAAAATGATGGAACCGATGAAGGGGCTCAAGTGGAAGTACGGGGGTGAGAAAACCACGGACTCATTCATCGCGATCGACGTGGACACCAAGTATCAGGAGATCATGGGCTTTGGTGGTGGGTTTACGGAAGCTGCGGCACTGCAGTTCCATAAACTACCGAAAGATAAACAAGAGGAGGTATTGACGCTCTACTTCGACAAGAACAAGGGCAGTGCGTACAACTTCGGTCGTGTGCCGATGGGGTCGTGTGACTTCTCGATGGGGTCGTACAATTTTGCCGAGACGGAGAACGACATGGAACTTAAGGACTTTGATGTGGACGTGACATACGACACGGAGATGATTATCCCATTCATCAAGCGTGCGTTGAAACGCCGACCAGACATGAAATTGATTCTAGTGCCTTGGAGTCCACCAGGCTGGATGAAGCGATCCAGCTCGTCGTACAGTGCGAGTATGCTGGGGTCAACCAAGCCAGTCGGACTGCGAGACGACATGCGTGCTCCATGGGCTCTCTACTTCTCCAAGTTCATTACGGCATACAAGAAGCACGGGATCCCATTCTGGGGAGTGTCACCACAGAATGAGCCGGAGTTTAACGCACCATGGGAAGCCTGTGCATACAATCCCGAGTATGAAGCTGAGTTCATTGGCGAGTTCTTAGGCCCCGTACTTGAGCGTAACCACCCCGGTGTTACACTCATGGCGTTCGACCACAATCGGGTTAGTGTAAACCGATGGGCGAATGTCATCTACAGCCATCCAAGTGCAGGCAAATACGTTGATGGCATCGCCTTCCACTGGTACGAGGACGGCGGTGAGCGCTACATGGACGGAGTGGCTTATCCTGAGCATTTGAACGACACCCACTTCGTTAATCAGAGCCGCTTCATGCTGAGCACGGAGAGCTCTAGTTGTCCTGGAGTCGCAGTCGGAGCTGAGGCGTGGTTTCGAGCTCAGCGCTACGGTCACAACATTATGTCGGATCTCAACAATTACGCTGCTGGATGGATCGACTGGAATTTGATACTTGATCACACGGGCGGACCAAACCATAAGGACAACGTCTGCGATGCTGCCATTATCGTGACTGAAGGTGGAGACGACTATTTTGTGCAGCCAATGTACTATTTCATCCAGCACTTTTCCAAGTTCTTACCTCCGGGATCTCGACGTGTGAAGACGAAAGTGGCTGCTCGGTTCGCCAAACCTGGCGATGCCCAGCTATTCGTTCACTATCAATCTTCTCTTGATAGTTGTGATGGGAGTTCACGACAGGCGATCCGTAGAACGGAAGACAACAAGATGCAAGTGACTGGAACTCCGTTCTGTCTGGACTTGGTGAACACTCCGACTGGACAGCATGAGGTTCGATTGGTGGAATGTCAGTGGACACCGCAGACGTGGACGTTTGAGGAGGACACGCACCGTGTTCGTATTGATGAATACTGTGTGTCACTGAACCATGGATCCACGGAGGACGGGGTGCGTATTATGGCCGATAAGTGTGAGGATGAGGTGGCTCTGTACCAACAATGGACGTTCAACGCGGAAGACGGGACGATGCGCTCCCATGCATCGCCGTCGAACCAGTGTGTGACGGCGGGCTATTCGTTCCTGCAAGCTGCTGCTTTCGTGGCACCGCAGAATCGCAAGGTTCTTGTGGTGTTGAACGAAAACACTGAGCCGGCAGACTTCCAGGTGCAGACTGGAAATGCAGTGCTGGACACGACGATTGCTGCAGGTGCCATTCGCACGTATGTCTGGGCGTAAATGGGCAAGCAATTGTGTTCTGCTGGGAACTGAAAATTACATGTAAGGTAAAAGGACAGCAAGAAGAACACCACCATGGGCAGAAATTGGAAGCATTCGGTCCATATAATGAAAAAAAAAAAAAAAAAAAAAAAAAGCACGTCAAGTATGGGTTTCAAATTGGCGTGTTTGAACGTCTTGATCCAAATTGTGTCGGCTTTAGTACATGCTGCGTCTACAAGACAACACACAACCCAGCCTCAGGACACGCAATAAAATACAGCAGGGGGTACACAACGTACTGAAAATGAGGCTGGTTCTGCATCTTTTGTCGTCGCTGTGCCATCACATTCGCCAGGTACGAGAACGACGACAAGTGTAGCTACGAAACACGAGTAAGAAGTCTACGAACAGCTTTCTCCACCTTGCTTTCTTCTCACCTGGTGGTTATAGTCATCTACACAACAACAGTAAAGCAAATTTAGTATCAAAAGATGTTGATAATATACTACAACCACGCACTTGGTGATATCTGATGATTCTGTCGAGCTTGCTCCAGTTCCAGCACGCGCTGTTGGGCTGCAACCTCATGGCGCTTTGAGACCCTCCGTCCCGCTACATCCAGCAATCAACCAGTCAAAATCTGTGCCTCCACCATGTTCCATACAGTTGATAGTATAGCGTACGCGCTGATGCTGTCCATTGCTCATGCTCCATGTTGCGTCGAGATCGACGTGGAGTATTGGATAATGGAGACGTGATGCATCAACAATGCAATTCAGTTCAAGGTCAGTATAGCGGGGGTACCAACCCGTTTGTGTGACAGCAACTCGTGTCTTTTGTAGCCATTTTGCAATGGCGGAGGAGGAGGCGCTAACAGCATCGGAGCCGCTCGCGCTCGAGTCCTCGTTTACGCACTGGGCGCGCTGTGTGGAGGTGCCGATTGGTGAAGGTCGTGTCGTGTCTGTGGAGCAGGATCCGGACTCGTTTGTGTTGGGAACAACCGTCTGGGACAGCAGCAAGACGCTGCTCAAGTTCATCGAGCAGCGACCCGAGCGGTTCCAGCGCTTTTCGTCCATCTGTGAGCTCGGCGCGGGCTGTGGGGGTCTTGCAGGCATTGCCAGTGCAATTGTCACTAGCGGACTAGCTGATGTGGTGCTCACAGACATTGGACCTGTGCTCCCGTGGCTACGACGCAACGTAAGAGAAAACCTGACAGGCAAAGAGATGCAGCGGGTCCGCGTGGAGCAGCACGCTTGGTACGGGGCAAAAAAGCAATTAACTAAGACACTGAAAAGATGCTGATGTTGTTTTATGGCTTGGTGATCATAGGGGCACGCCTGTGACAAATCTCAAGGCGCCGTTCGACTGTATCTTGTGTGCCGATGTGGTGTATGAGAAGGCGTGCGTCAAGCCCTTGGTGCAGTCACTGCTGGCTCTGTCACACCGCAAGACCGTCATCTTCTTGGCTAATGAGCGTCGTGCACCGGAAGTTCGAGCGGAGTTTATGAAACACTTGGATTCGTATTTCCAGTGGAAAGAAGTGCCCAAGACGGAGCTGGATGCCGATTATCTGAAAGAAGCGATCGAAGTGTTCGAGATGAGACCCAAGAAACGTAAAGTCCCGTTGGAGATGCAGATTGTGACTCCTGAGAACTATAACCCTGACGAGCAGGAGTATCATGCGCTGGGTAGTGGCGCTAGAAACGAGGCGGATCCGTACGACCGGGATCTCTGGAATGACTTGTTAAGAGATCTGTCCTTAGATCCTACAGACAAGAAGAAACCAAGCTGATGTCGTCACAGCAACAATATCCATTAGTTGTGCAAGAGGCAGTCGTGTTGATGTTTACACCCTCTTTCCTTTTCTCATTCCTTACATGCATACTCATCGAGTAAGTATTTCTTACTCCCAGGTGAACGTCCGGATGGCTCTAGGCGGTACCGTCGTCTCCAGCGCCACACCGCCAACCTGCAGTTCGAAGTCGGCCGGCTCAGTGTTTTCGTTCATCACCACAAGCACTTTGTGGTTTTCCGGAGTCACGAACGCGGAAGCCTGCACGAACGCATAGCCGGCAGTCACGCACTGGTCTGTCGTCGACGCAAGCGACCGCATCGTGCCGTCTTCAGCATCGAATCTCCACTGCTGGTGTGGCATGATCTCATCCTCACACAAGTCGGTGCTGATACGCGCTCCATCCTCAGTAGAGCCGTGGTTCAATGAGATGCAGTAGTCGCCCATGCGAATACGACCAGTGTCGGTCTCATACGTCCAATGTTGCTGAGTGTATCTGCAGTCCACCAACAGACCCTGGTGTCCCTGCCACGGGATCTCCTTCAGATCAATACAGAAGCCTGTGCCAGTGACCGTCAGCTTCCCGTCGTCCGTCGGGCGCCACTTCTGTCGCGAGCTGCCATCACAACGGGCCAGCATCGATGGATAGTCAACGTACAATTGCGGATCTCCAGGCTGAGTGAAGCGAGTAGCCACCTGCGTCTTAACACGACGCGAGCCAACGGGAATGTACTTGGAGAAGTGCTGGATGAAGTAGTACATGGGCTGAATGAAGAAATCCTTCTCATCCTCCGTCATAATGATAGGAGCATCGCAGTTATTCGCCAAGTGGTTGGGTCCTCCCTTGTGATCCAGAATCAAGTTCCAGTCGACCCAGCCAGCCACGTAATTGTTAAGATCCGACATGATATCATGACCATAACGTTGTGCACGGAACCAAGCAAGGTCACCGTGACCCACATCGGGGCAGTTGCAACTCTCTGTAGCCAACATGAAGCGGTTCGGATCAATGAAGTACGTGTCGTTCAAGCGCTCGTGGTACTCCACACCGTCCATGTAGCGTTCATCGTCGTACCAGTGGAAAGCCATACCGTCAACGTACTGGGCCGCAGTCGGGTGGTTGTAGATCTCCTCTGCCCATTGACGGACACTACCGCGGTTGTGGTCGAAGACCATAAGTGTAAGCTCGGGGTGGTCACGTTCCAGCATGGGGCCTAGATAGTTTCCAATGAACTCGGCCTGATACTCCGCCGTGTACATACACGACTCCCAAGGAACTTCTGCTTGCGGTTCATTCTGAGGCGTGAGGCCCCAGAAGTCGATACCGTGGTTCTTGTATGCTGTGATGAACTTGGAGAAGTAAAGCGCCCACGTCGCACGAACGTCGTCCTTAAGGCCTATAGGCTTGGCCGAGTTGAGCATGCTAGGCTCATAGTTGAATGCAGCGCGCTTCATCCAGGCTGGAGGGCTCCATGGCGCGAGGAAAAGCTTGAGATCCGGCTGGCGCTTGAGCGCACGCTTGATGAACGGAATGAGCACGTCTTGGTCGTGCTTCACATCCTTATCAAAGTGTTGGAGCTCCGTGTCATTGACTACATCGTCAAAACTGTACGAACTGGCTGAGAAGTCCGACGAGCCCATGGGTACGCGTCCAAAAGTGTACGCACTGCCCTTGTTCTTGTCAAAGTAGAGCGTCAGCACCTCCTCTTGCTTCTCCTTGGACAGTTTGTTGAACTGCAGTGCTGCGGCCTCCGTGAAGGCTCCTCCGAAGCCCATGATCTCCTGATACTTAGTTTCCACGTCCACGGCAATGAAAGACTTGGCGTTGGGCTGTGCGCCGTGCGTCCACTTTAAGCCTGTGATAGGTTCCATCATGTTGGTAACATTGGCCACGTACGAGCTCTGGACGCACGTCACCTCCGTATCTAAAGCTGGCGCTGCCTTGGAGTTCGGCGTGGACTTCGTTGTCTTTACGGGCGCTACGGCGGCGTCTTCCGGCAGCGCAATGATTCCGATGACAGCAAGGACGGTGATCACGGCGCAGATGGCGAGCCCCATGAGGCTCCACTTGAGAATAGTGCGCCTCCGCGTCGCACGCGCGCTCAGCCGCTCGTCGCTCGCCAGGGAGCTGGTGCCGTAGACTGTGGGCTCAGTCGTCATCGCTAGCAAGTCGAAACTTGTGCGCTACTCAGACGATTCAAAAGTGAGCTTGATGCGCCACCAAGCACCGGCAGGCCTCTGATGAGGAAGGATGCTGACGGTTGAGGGATGCGTTTGATTTGGATGGAGTATGGGGGCTTGTGCTTGAAGCGGCTAGAAGATATGTGTCACATAACGCACAGCACTTGTTACCGCTAAACGGCTTTCTGATACTTTTTGGTGGCAGAAGCCTGTAAGAAACGGGACAGCCGTCTTTCTTTATTTTCGGTTCGTAAATTACGCAAGCCGAGCTGATGCTTACCACGAGATCAGAGGAATCTTGCGCGTGGTGTCAGGGTGAGAGTGGTTTGAGCTTTGGCTGATGATGATGGATAGCAGGGCAAGACGAGTCGTTGCCGTCATCACCATGAGACCAAAGATATTCCAGAAGTCGAGCGTCGAACGTGACCGTGATACAAGGATGTTGTTCATTAATGGCTGCTGTTCAGTGCCTCGTCTTCATGCTCCTTGGATACTTCAATTGTGACCGCTTACCAGACATACGTGCGGATTGCACCCGCCAGTACCGACGTGTCAAGCACCGCATCGCCGACTTGCACCTGGAAATCCGCCGGCTCCGTGTTCTCATTAAGCACCACCAGCACCTTGCGGTTCTCAGGCGTCACGAACGCAGCAGCTTGCACGAACGAGTAGCCCGTCGTCACACACTGGTTGGATGTCGATGCCTTCGAGCGCATTGTGCCGTCTTCCGCGTTGAACGTCCATTGCTGGTGCGGAGCCACATCTGGTTCGCACTTATCCGCCGTGATACGCACACCATTCTCAGTCGATCCACGACTCAGTGACAAACAATAGTCGTCAATACGAATACGGTTCGTGTCTTCCTCAAACGTCCACGTTTGCTGCGTCCACTGACACTCCACCAGTCGAATTTCACGTCCTTTACTCGGAGTTGGCACCATATTCAGACAGAAAGGTGTGTTCGTCACCTGCATCTTGTTATCGTCCGTCTTGTGAATCATCTGACGTGAACTGCCATCGCAAGTAGCAAGAGAAGACTGATAGTCGACATACAACTGCGCGTCACCAGGCTTCTCGAAGCGTGCTGCAACCTCAACATCCACACGACGAGATCCAACCGGAATGAACTTGGAGAAGTGCTGGATGAAGTAATACATGGGCTGGATGATGAAGTCCGTCTCATTCTTAGTCAAGATGATCGGAGCGTCGCACAGATTACCCTTGTGATTCGGTCCTCCAGTGTGGTCAAGTAGCAAGTTCCAGTCGACCCAGCCAGCTACGTGATTGTTGAGATCAGACATAATATCGTGGCCGTAACGTTGAGCACGGAACCAGGCGTCCTTGCCGACGGCAACACCAGGACAATTGCAGCTCTCCGAAGCCAGCATAAAGCGGTTCGGATCGATGAAGTGAGTGTCGTTCAGGTGTTCGGGATACTCGACGCCATCCATGTAGCGCTCACCGCCATCCTCGTACCAGTGGAAAGCCATACCGTCGACGTATTTGCTAGCAGTCGGGTGGTTGTAGATCACTTCAGCCCAGTGCTGCACGTTGTTACGGTTGTGATCAAACACCATTAGAGTAAGACCAGGATGGTCACGTTCGAGTACAGGACCCAGGAACTCGCCAATGAACTCAGCTTCATACTCGGGATTGTAGGCACACGCTTCCCATGGCGCCGCGAACTCTGGCTCGTTCTGCGGTGAGAGACCCCAGAAGTCGATGCCGTGCTTCTTGTATGCAGTGATGAACTTGGAGAAGTAGAGAGCCCATGGAGCACGCCTGTCGTCTCGCAGTCCTACCGGCTTCACGGATCCCAACATACTCGCGTTGTAGTCGGAACTCGATCGCTTCATCCAAGCTGGTGGACTCCACGGCGCCAAGAACATCTTCATGTCTGGTCGGCGTTTCAACGCACGCTTGATGAATGGGATAATCATCTCCGTGTCGTGTGTCACGTCCACATCAAAGTCCTTAAGTTCCATGTCGTTCTCCGTCTCGGCGAAATTGTACGACCCCATCGAGAAGTCACACGACCCCATCGGCACGCGACCGAAGTTGTACGCACTGCCCTTGTTCTTGTCGAAGTAGAGCGTCAATACCTCCTCTTGTTTATCTTTCGGTAGTTTATGGAACTGCAGTGCCGCGGCTTCCGTAAACGCACCACCAAAGCCCATGATCTCCTGATACTTGGTGTCCACGTCGATCGCGATGAATGAGTCCGTGGTTTTCTCACCCCCGAGCTTCCACTTGAGCCCCTTGATCGGTTCCATCATGTTGGTCACATTGTCGATGTTCGAGCTCTGAAAACACTCGATTTCCTCCTCATTGGGGCTTGCAGTGGACACAGTAGACTTGGCTGAGTGGAAGGAGATGCCCAGCACCACCAATCCGATGACGATGATTCCTGTAGACGCACCAATGATCCCCCATCTGATCCATTTGCGCCGAGCAGCAGCGCGAGCACTCAGACGCTCGTCACTGGCAAGTGAACTCGTGCCGTACGCTGTTGGCTCCGAGTGCGATGCCATGATGTCTCTCACTCAGTCCCTCCTCGATGGCAAATTTGATACTAGCTGCTGGAAGATCGCAAAGATCGCTGATCAATTGCGATAAAGTTGCATTAACGGCTTCAGTTGCATAAAAGTTGCTGGATGGCATTCAGAAAAAATACCCATTAAAATTTTGATGGGGTTTTTTCGTCTGAATGCTATTCCG